GTTATCTTATATAAAGAATGTTATACTTGATTCTATTACATGTTATCTTAATCAAAGTAATGAAGGGACAGATATTTGATATAATATTGCATGCTTTAATTATAGTTATTGGCTTTATATGTTACTGTAAAATAATATTTTTAACACTTAGAAATATTGAATCAAATCTAATTTGATTATTTTCCAAACCAAAAAAAATTATTTAACATAAATTCCATGATTTTTTTTCAAAATTTAATAAAAAAATTAATCACATTAAAATTCTTATTAATATCCTAAGCTATTTATTAAACAAAGGTATAAGATAATGAATTTATTAAAAATAGATTTTAAAAATATTGAACATAAGTTCAATAAGAATTAAATATGTCTTTGATTTTCTCATAAAAAAATATATGCAAGTGATTGTTATTCATAAATAATAGAGGTAAGCTCTTATATAAATAACATTTCTAGTAGCCTGAAAATACTGTTTAAGAAAAAATTTAGATTAAGATTGACAGTGTATATAATGTCAAAGTAATTTAAAAAAGCTATCAACTAATCAATATCTTCTCTCTCCCACTCATAGTTATAAAATTTATTCTAAAAATCAACTTATGATAAAGTTAATTAATTTAAATTAATTTAATTTATTTTTTTTAATAAATATTATTTTTATGTTTGAATCCTAAATTAAAGTTCAATTTAAACCCAACCTCATTTTTAGGTAAAAAATTTTGTTATCCTTTATCAACCCATGTTCTAGTAGTAACCACCCTTCACTCCTTTTTCTCTTTCTTTTAGCTTGACTTGTTATTTCAAGTGGCAATGGATATAATTTCTAACAGATCTACTTCTTGTGCTCTTTAATTAGAACAATTATAAAATTATAAAATCTCAGCCCATATAATCTTGACTTTTTCTTCTTCGTTTCTCATGGTGACAATTGATTTTCACTATTAAATTTTTGTGCAACTTCTCCATACGACACCACCAAAGATTAGAGCCCTCCCACAAATTAAAATTTATGTTACCTAGCCTTGGTTTTCTTTCTCTCTCTTTATGTTTTTTTTTTTTAAGAATATATTTGTTATACAAGACGGGGAGGAGAAGGAGGAGGTAAAGCGATGCAACAAGAATTAGTTTTGTAGAGTTAATGGATAGCTAAAAATAAAAAATTAATATTTTAATTTTTCTTTGCTTGTTTTACACACTCCAAAGGGGAAGCCAAATAAAATGTTAAAATGCATTTTCTCTTCCACAAATGCTATTTCTACATATCTCTTTAAAGAGCCAAAACCAATAAAGTGGGACCACTAAAAAAATAAACCAATTAAATGTAGACATGTGGAAAAAAATAACATTAAATATATTAAGAAATAATAAAACACTTATTTTTTTCACTCCAATATAAATGGCTCTTCAAATGACTTTTTTCCATTGGAATAGATATGGTAAGATAAGCTATATTTATACTATTTAAAATGTTATTTTATTAATTTAGTTTTTCAAAATAGCATTTTGGATTGGAGATGTTTATGAAGTGAAAAAAAGATCAAATTGATAGTGATTTGATACTAAGGTATTTAGAAAAGGTACAAAAAATTATGAATACGAAAGCTTGGAGTTAATTTATAAGTTTAGAGATATCCAAATCAAGTTGAGAATCAGGTTTATTTTATTTTAAGTTGATTATGTCATGGTCAATCTGGATTTTATTTGGACCAATATAAATTATTATTTTTAACTCGAAATAATTTAAATTTCAAGAATTTACTAAATCTCGAGTTTATCCATCAAGTACATATAATCTAACTTGAAGATTTCTTTAAATTTTGAATATATATATATATATATATATATATATAACGTTCTTGAGAAACTTTGTTGCCTTGAATATAATCTAATGTTTATTTATGGTCATCTTGAATATAATCTAATGTTCATTTATGGTCATTTACTACCCACACTATGAATATATATTTTCAAAATTTAGAGTTATCTTAGAATTAGCCAATAACTCTAAATTATCATGACATAAGGAGATGATCAGGGGTAAGCAAAATAACGAAGAAATCAAATTAACAAAAAGAAAAAGTGATTAGAAAATATATATAAAAAAATGATTTTAAGAAGCTTAGGCCAATTACATTAAAGCCTAAAAAAAAGTTAAAAAATTCATGAATAAATTTGGATTTTTAAATAGGTAATCGAACTACTGAACTAATTATTTTAATAAAAAAATAAAAGTTTAGGCTCATTACATCAAAGCCTCAATTAAAAGTTTCATAGATAAATTTAATTTTTTAAAATAGAAAACCAAACTATACCAAATTATTATATAAGTTGTTTTTAAATAATTTAGTTGAATTTCTTATATAAATTGAAAGATACTCACATCTTAAAATATCAACAACTTAAGTAAACTAAACTTTCATTGGAGATTTTCAATTGATCAATTTTTCAGAATCACAAGTTTTTCCAAAATCATATATTTAAACAAAAATCAGATTTGCCTTCTATTATCATCCATACGTTTTCTTTTACCCTAATTATATCTCAATTTTCTGTCTTTTCTCGAATTCAATTAACAGCCACTAGTCTCTTGCACTTACTTACAAGATGACCAACTTACCCGCTCCCCATCTCTCAATGAAATGACCAACTGGGAGGTTAATTCTGTCATTCAAAATCGAGAAATAATATAGATATTATTTTTTTTTTAATTTCTGGTGTGTCTGTCTCCAGCCTCTATTTTCTTGCCCGAAACGGACATAAACACCCCCAAGATATTGTCTTAAGGAATCCCAAAATCATATTTCCGTCAATCTCCCTCCCATCTTTCTTCCGCAACTCATAGAAGTTCCCACCACCGGCAGCAGTCCACAAGCTATTATTAGATCACTTGCATACAGTCGCACAGCACAGAGTCATTTGCTGATCACAATGGCTTCGATCCAGTTCACACTGTCTCCTACTTCCTCCATCCGCTCCTCACCATCATTTGCCGGTTCTCCTGCAAACCCCATCACGCCCCAATACTCCTCTACCCCCACAAAGGATCTCTCCTCCTACTGCAAGCTATCGTCAAGGCAAAAGAACGTGATCAAGAGGAATGGCAGCAGAAACCTGGTTTCTACAGTGAGGTCGAGCTTGGACACGGCGGGTCCCACTTCCTCTGTTGGACAGGTCACTGAGGTCACCAAGGACACCTTCTGGCCCATCGTTAACTCAGCCGGGGATAAGACTGTCGTCCTCGACATGTACACCCAATGGTAATACGTATGTTATGTTGTTTTTCTTATCTTTTCTGTTCTTCGACTCTTCAATGGATTGGATAATAGTAGTATGTACTCCTACTGGTTGCCCATCTAGATGTTCATACAGATTATACTACTTCAAGAATTCAACTCTTTAGAGCTTGATTCTGAGAGTCAAGAACAGCTCGCCGTTTGACTGGTATGAAAATGAATCGAGTTTTAATTGGATATAGCATGTGTTTCAATGCAATTAAACATCGGAGTTTTACCCTCACCGTGCTCATTCATCCTTTCCCCGTTGACCTAGCTACATCTCATGGGACGTGGTGCTAGTCAAGCAATTCCACTAGCTATAAGAAAAACTATCGCGTGTTTCATACCATGATGGCATATTGATTGCATAATCTGATCGCATCTCTGGATTGATAATTGCTTAGGTGTGGCCCTTGCAAGTTAATAGCTCCAAAGTACAAGGAGTTATCCCAGAAGTATGATGATGTTGTGTTCTTAAAACTTGATTGCAACCAAGAAAACAAGGTAAGTAGTTGCCATACCTTATTGATCGAAGCTTAATCACATGCACACACGAGAAACACCACCTGGGAGACCACCCTCTGAATTTGAATTTGATAATTGTTGGCAGCCGTTGGCAAAAGAGCTTGGCATAAAGGTAGTACCGACCTTCAAGATTCTCAAGCAAGGCAAGATCGTAAAGGAAGTCACCGGGGCCAAATTCGATAATTTAGTTATTGCCATTGAGGGTGTCAGATCCGCCAGCTCTCTTTAATCTCTTTTCTATTATTCCCTCTCGTGTAAACCATTCTGCTTCGAAATAATTACTCTTCCTCTGTGTTTACTTACTTAATGGTTGTACGGGTGGACATGAAATGGTGTAAACCTACAGTGGAAAGAAACTGCCCGCGATGGATTTTCTTTTCTTTTCTTTACCTCTAACGGAGCCCATGCATCCAAGTACCAAGGGTATATTACATTTAACATGATTTGTTCGTTTCATATATTAAGTAGTGCAAACATTAGGTGGCGTGTTGTGCTGTAAGGATTTGAGGTGCGAAACGCGTTACCACACTCATTGTTGTGAATCGCATGGCATTAACTTGTGTTACGCTTGCCCTGCCTTTGCTGGGATGTAAATCCAGAGTATAGTTTTCTGATGGGCACGCCAACTGTCGTTCAAAGAGAAAAATAGCCTCAGCTTTATAGGTGAATAAAATGACTAGGGAGGTTGCAGAAACACTCTTCCATAAGAACAAGTTATCCGTATACTTTCTTTGTTTTTCGGAATATGTCATGTAGATTGCTTCGTGTGCATCTTCAAGAACAAGTAAACACCTATGGGATCTCATATTAGAAACCTCTTTATGGCCACTTCAATCTTTTGACATTATGGATTACAGAAGCACCAATATTCCCTCGTATTCTTCTTTCTTTTTACGACAACAAAAAGAATAAAGCCCTAAAACACACTAACTATGCATACAGACAAAAACAGCTCAATTTGGTGGCACAAGGAAATGATGGATAGAGAGGGGACTGATTATGGCGGAGGAACCCCTTTACCGGGCAGTGCTACTAGCTTGGAAAAAACATGTAACTCACTAATCATGTCCATTCGTGTCCACCAGCAATCATGAAGGAAAAGGTTCTCCCTTTTTACCAATTATAGCAGCTAGAAGCAAACATAGACTACCATTATAACAGCAGCACTTGTCATTCTTCGTGCATATCGGATGCATCACCAAACATAGAAGGGATAGGAAGCAAGAAAATCTACCTCAAAATTTATTTTTACACTTGGTTTAGGAGAGAATTGGCAAGTTGCACTGTACTCCATAGCTCACACTTTTACAATAGCATACAAAAAGGGCATAAATCTAACTTGCCAATTAAGAACAGGAACTGGCAAAAATCTTGAACTGTGGTAGAATTAAATGGATAAAAGAATTAAGAACAGGAATTCACACAATCAAGCACATCCATTCCCGGTCACGCTATGGCCCATCCAGAAAATACATCTCAAGCTATGGCCCATCCACTACTTGCGGTGCCTCCGCTTTTGTTCAGCCCTCTGCCTCTTGTCCTCATCCCATTCCCGGTCATACATTCTAAAAGCTGATTAAGGACTTGCAATATAAAACAACGATCTTCAAAGAAATAGTAAAGCATGCATTGTATTCGCATCACAAGCTAGCTTGACAGCAAAACTACAACATTGTAATACTGTATGCCTAATGCACATCATGCCCGCAAGCCAGTACACAACTAAACGCAAAATGCAAGGTGTACAGCATATTGTTGAAAAATTACCCCATCACAAATTACAATTTGTGGCGGACAGGCAACAGGGATTTAAACAATTTTACTGACTTCCAGATCCCTCAATTGAATATGCACATGCTGGCATGCATTATTAATTACTAAACAATGGATTTTAAGGATACGGATCAGCATCACGACGAGCCATCTTGCCAGCTACGTCTTTACCATGAATCCTCATGGAAGGTTCCTCCAAGTAACTTGATCGCTGAATCGTGCCCCCCTTCCGATCTCCCCTATCCCTACCATCATATGATTGTGACATGCCAATACCAAGGGGAGGAGGTGGTGGGGCAACAGGAGAATATTCACCAGCTTCCCCAGTTGGCAGATGATCTCTTTTAATTTTCCGTCTCTTAGCAGCTGCACCAGCATCCATTTCCTCCTTCAAGAGATGGGTTTTCTCCCTCTCTCTTTCTCTTTCCCTCTCTTCCACCTGCAAATTAGCAACTCAGAGATATAAGCAAAAACCTTTCTTCTTCTAAACACACAGAGACCAATAAGAGAATAACGGCATCTAGTTGTTCTAAAAAAATAAAAATAGACCATCATCTATTTCTCTTTAATAGTTTGAATAATATTCAAGGCTTATTTTTCTTGGATGATTTCATCTTTAAATGGTACAATATCCAAATTGACAATCGTAGTCCGTACAGTGTAAATCATTCCAGACTCAGACTCGCAAATTTATGATGTCAAAGCATTTGCACATAATGCATCAGTACAGCTGTATAAATACCCAGGGGGAGGGATGAATCAGAGTACAGCTGTATAAATACCCAGGGGGAGAATCCCTTGCTTGTCTAAGTCGGTAAGAGTTCCAATTCAAACCAACAAGCACCAAAATGCAAAACATGATCCATGCCAAGAAGCGATCAGATGAACTTGTAATTTATATGGTCTCTACTCAAACAAGGTAGAACATGTTAAGCAGAGTGTTGCCCTCTGCAAAAAGTGCTAAATATCCAGGACAAAGACATTATTCATGACAAAGATGACTGAAGCCATTGGGCTACAAAGAGAGTCAAACACCAAAAGCTACGGAGTCCAACAACGGGTATGTTATCAAGACCACAAGAAAGATCATACATCAACATGGCCCCAATGATAGAAATTCGCTTGACAAGCAAACTAAAACAATTATGAATTACAAGTGAAACCATGACATTAAAACAGCTCACTTTTATGCACTCATGCTCAGAGTCCATATGACCATAAAAGATAGCATTCTATCAATATGCCAAAACATGGAGGAACAAATACCATATGACAGCAACAGTTAAATTATGCAGGTGGCAAATAATCCAACCTCCCATCACAAAGGAAAGCAAGCGAATATAAGAAACTAAAGAAAACAGAAGCACAAATATCAGTTATACAGGTATATGTTGTCCTCTATTAAATGTCATTGCAATTCCTAGAAATGATAAATTAGATTCAACTGTTTCATACTCAGTCCAATCTTGCATGTATTAAGTGTTGAATGGTCACTTAATTAAGAATCAAAATGGAATCAACGAGTTAGAAGCTAATTCATACCTTAATTGACAACCCCTCTCGCTCTTCTCGCTTTCTCTCACGAACATCATCCTCTTTTCTTCGTTTTCCATCATCCTGTGAAACCAAGGAATTTTCTTCTGATCGTCTTCGTTCTTTCTCGTCATGCCTAGGAGAAAGCCTTTGGGAATGTCTGGTAGTTCCAAACCTTCGGTCAGCATCTTCATCTCGTCTACCAGAAGTAACTGACTGGGGAACCATGTGAGGAGGTAAAGGTGGTGGTGGAGGCAAGTTCTGCCCATGAAAACGATCATCACCCTGAGATTTTTCAGCAGATGTATCATTGTATCGTAACTTGCTTCTGTCATCTTTGGCTTTGTCAGCTAGTCTATCGAAACTCCTATCAGTACCCCTATCCATCCCTCTCTCATCCGAACGCTCTCTTCCATATCTTTCCATTGATTTGTCTCTGGATCTGTCAGCTAAACTATCATCCCCATGGGATTTATCAGGACGCTCTGATCTTTCCCGATGATCCCTATCATATCTATCATTACCTTTATCTTTTGACCTATCCAAAGGTTTATCCGTACTCCTATGCTTATTCTGTTCATCATTTCCCACTTTATCAAGTTCCGCAGATCGAGTATCTGTGGACCTCTCTCTCTCAGAGAATTTAACTTCACCCTCTAAATCTCTCAATTCACCATCCCCTTTTCGCCGTTTACTTGATCTGTCAGGTTCTTCAGCAGGACTCGTTCTTTTTTGCAACTTATCACTGGACTTTGAAGCAGCAATAGAGTTATCATGCCTAGGAGAATGAACAAGTTGAGGTGGCTTCTGCACATCAGCAACTTCAGTTGCTTCAGCTTTTGGAATAGATTTGTTAAGTCCACTATCTGATTTTGATTCAGCACCATAAGAATCAGATGCTCTTGTAGACAGAGTAGAGATTTTTCCAGATGTTGAAACTGCATTACCATTCAATGTGAGTGCAGAAGAAACATTAGCCGCAGCCCCTTGCCTGCCCTCTGATAAATGAACCTGGATGTCTTTGTCACTTGTGGATGAGGATGGAGTTCGGCCAACAGCTTTTCCAGATTTATGATCATCTTTTACATCATCTTGCTTTATTGTTTTGGAAACCAGCCGCTTTGTGGAAATTTTCATCTGTCAATAAAGATAAGGAAAAGGAAAATCAGCCAAAGGTAAATATAATATATCCTTTTAAGAATTCAACAAAATAATAAATATCTTGTGGGTCCCAAATTGTACAATCACTACCTCGTGTCTATTTCAACAGAAAAAAGGTATTGTTTCTTTCCCTTGACAAGAAAAAAAAAAAATCTCACTACTGCTGTTCAATAAGAATGTTTAACATTGCCTTCATTGACGCACTATATAAAATTGTCTACGTACCATATTGAACACAATCTAGACAATACCTCAGACTCCGCTAAGTGCTTTGGAGCAGTTCTGACAGTGCCATCCTCCAATGTTCTATTTGATGAATCATCCACCCCCTTTCGATTTTCTGCTGATCTTGATGCTCCTACATGAACAGTACCTGCAGAACCAGCTGACTGAGCATTTGACCCATTGGTTGATGAACCACCTTTGGATTTTGGATGCCCTTGATCAAATTTCGAATGGGAGGCATTGTCTGTTCTATCTGACCTCCCATCAGCATGTTTTGCTCTGGATATCTGCTCTCTGGTTGAATTCCCAGGATCTCCATGTTGGCTTCCAGTGAGAGGCGTTCTTCCCTCAGCAGGTTCACCTTGAGAAACATTAAGGGCAGAACTATTTTGTGCTGCAGCTACATTTCCAGATAAAGATTTTGATGCAGCAGATGGAGGCTTTATTTCAAGATATCCCATGCCAAATTCTTCATCTGTAATCCAAGAAGGCTGCAAACAACAAGAAATTTTTTAAATATGTAGGAAGGGAAGCTAAATGCACTAGTGAGTCCCACCAACCTTTCTAGCAGCCAAAGCTGCAGCGACACCTGTTGCCAAAACTTTGAGATCCTCCCTTTCATCACTTTTGATTCTAGTTACCTGTATAGAATGGGAGACAAAGGAAAAGAATTGAAGTTATGGTTCTGAAACCATAAAATTAAGATAAATAAAGGTCTCCTTTCCTGACGTCTCTTACTCGTTTTTCAAGGTTAATACCACTCCTTTTAGTTACTGGAAAAACACCGGAAATTTTTGTCAACAAAATAAGAGCATTTCGAATTTCCATGTACTCAGATGATTCCAGACACTGAATCAATAGCCGAGACATTCTCTGACTCCATTTCCAGTGTACCTATACCAAAAGAGCAGATAAAATGAATAAACAATTACCACTAATATAACCAATACCCAATTATGGTATAAAAGTAAACACATAATATCCAGTTTTAACAGATGATTCAATAAATCACAAATCTCTGTGCCTTAAATATCAGTAGTGACTGACCAAAAGGTTGAACTTGGCCAAAGGAAAATGATCAAGAAAAGACAAGAGAGTAAGAAAAGGCCAGCAAAGAAGGGAAAAGTAAGAGGCAACAATGGGTCAAGTGGAATAAAAACAAAAATGATCTTCAATGTAATATTATCAATGAAGAAAATATAAAAACTATAGTGACCATTCATAAAAAAAAATCTCAAAAAAATTAATTTATAGCTTAAACTTTTTCTGGTTCCCAAGAGGATTTGCAACCAGAATCGATATCATTTAGAAGACCTTAAGACTTCTAGATTTCAACTAATGCCCACATATTAGCACTAGTGGATACTTAAAGATGACTTCAGGATTTCCTGAGCATGACTAGTTTCAATATAGGGATCCTACATAAAAATTAGTCCCCAATTTAACACACGTCCAGATATGAACTTAAGAAAAGTAAGACCAGTAAGCTCAGTTTGAAAAGTACATTAAAGGCTGAATAATGCATTATGTAGATGAATAGAATTGAATGCAGAAAGGTAGATAAAGAATCAACACTTGAATGCAAAGTCATCCAGACAACAAAATATTCAGACAGAGATTTCAGTTTGTGAAAATGACAACCAGTAGAAAAAAATAAATATGACTTCCATCTCAAGAACTAACCTTGATGAATTGACCATATGTAACCCGTTGGCTGTTTGGAAATCTATAATACACAGCAAATCCAGGCATATTTCCACACTCATGTTCATATATAGATTCGTCACTCTGGTAGCAAAACATTCAATAAAAGAAAAGAAGAGCATTGAGCTAGGGTGCAGGCAAAAAGAAAAGCAAACAAATGGTTATTTCAATCAAACACAAGTGCTAAATTCAAACAAGCACACTCCCGTGTGCACTTGCATAAAATTTAATTTAGGAAAAGAATAATTTCCTTTACTTTATGAAACAAACTCCAATTAGTAAAAGCAAAAATAAATCTGAATAACAGAAAGGACCATGAAGTTGTCAATACCTTCCAGTAGTAAGCAATCTTTAACGTCTCGTACAAAAACCTTCCAAGTCTACCTGCTTCATATTCAGTACAGCAGCATATCATAGGTTGCAATGTTTTACATATCAGAACATCAACATGGTTTACTGTGTTGAAAAACGGAGTGCCAAGTGAATGAAGAGTATGTACAAACATGGCACAATAAACAGCATCTGGCATGCTGAAAGTACAACGGGGAAAAATACAACGCTGAAGGAACTCCATATTGATTTTCAAAGTATCAGGACAGGAAGTCAGCCATTTGTCCTTTTCACAAGAGAGTCGTCTACGAACAGACGAAACATTATCTTCATGTTTACGGAGCTCACTAGTCAAACGATCAAGAGATTCTTGAATCCTTTCCTTCTCTTTCTTCCTTTTAGTAATTGCTGAACTAGAATTATCAGAAAGCTCTTCCAGAGCTTTAAGAGCAGCATGCTGCTTGGCAATTTCAGACTCGTAACGGTTTCTAGGAACATAGAGATCATAAAGTGTGAGTCCCCAAAAAGTTGCATAGAGATCAGGTGAGAGACTATTCCAGGCTTTTGAAGGCAACATGGTTTTCACAGTCTCAAGAAGATCCGACCACCTACATACCATTGATATATGATTATTCTTTACTATAAAAGAAACTTTCTTCATAAAATCGTTGTTTCTTATCAGGTATTCCACACACAAGTTAGTGTATAAGAAAAAGAATCACAGGCCAAGAAATGCTACAGAATAAAACAAAGTAAAAGACAAGATTATTACGTTACAGACTTATGGGAAGAGCCAAGATCCAGAATCACTCTGCCAGAATATTCTATGGCTTCAGGCTCCAGGATTGCACTTGTATTAGTTATTGTTTTATTGTTTTCCAAGGGCCAGAAAACATCTAAACTGCCAGCGCACTTAAAAAGCCTCATGACTGGGCGATATATTAAAAATGCAACCTAAAATGCACAGAGAAATGAAGATTAAAGTTATGTACAAGCATAAGGATACCTGTTGTAAAAACTATAATACTGCACAGTAAACAACACTCTAAATGTAATTTATAAATGATCAAGCAGACATAATAGGATAAATCAATGACCAAAATACAGAAAAATTTGAGGCTTGAACAATACACACACACACACAGAGAAAGGAAGGAAAGACCTCAGGATCAAGGTGGTACAGGTGGACAAGATCATCAAGAGAGGGAATCAACTGAGCATATGCTGAGGGTGGTGTCACAGCACTACAGAGGAATTCCACATATTGAAGAAGGGTTCCATGACACCTATCGAACTGCTCACTGACCATTTTAATGTAGGGTGCATCCGCATTTATGACAACCCTGGAGGAAAAAAATATATGAACAGTCAACACTCCAACCAACATCAAGCACATCCCATGGAAAAGAGCATGTAAAAAGCTAAGACAGACAGCAAAAATTACTCAAGAATTTTAACATTACAACAGAAAAAGATTTAAATAAGAAAGAGGACCAAATCACGTAAACATTCATGAATAGATGCCAAAAGAAATAATTAGGGACATATACCATTTCAAATAGGCACACAAGAATATTCAGATGCATGTTGCACTTGGTGGAAAAGGATTTGTATAAAGAGGATAAAGTAAAAAATCATCCATTTTTAAAAAATAAACACCCTTCACAACCTACACCATTTCCATGTTTTCTTCCCATAAAATATCCTTGAGAAAAAAAAATCCATTATTTTAAGCAAATATATATATGAAATAAAGTTGTACTGCTTACACAGAACGATGTTGAGCAATAAGTAACAAAAGGGGGATCGCTGGCTTCGGTTCATCCTTAGGAAGCAACGAGTCTCGTAGCCTGTTAGCAGATTTGAACAGTGCCTGCACAGAGAATAAATTAGATATAGCTTGTAAGTTGCCCTGATGTGTTGGAAATTCAGTCTGGGAATATCTGGTGTAAAGTGAAAAGGAATATTGCAGAGTCAAAACTTCCATACTTAGCAATAACAATCTCACGCTCATGTTCAGCAACAATAGGAAATGTAAACTAAATCATAACCACAGTACACTACCTACAGGAATATGTAGCACGCTCATGTTCAGCAACAATAGGAAATGTAAACTAAATCATAACCACAGTACACTACCTACAGGAATATGTAGCAAGCAAGGGCAAACGAGGGAACCTTAGGATGCCTGGCTTAATCTAATAGCATATATTTGCTCTTTAAGCAAGTTTAGGCAACTGAAGAATCTGTCATGATTTTCAAGCATCAACAAATGGAATCCCCAAAGCCCAAATAAGAAAATCCTACATTTCCAAATGGAACTTGTATTTCAATAAGCTAGTTTCCGCAACGGCGTTGATGAAATCACCAAGTCATAAGAAACACTTTTAGCCCAACATCAGGGTATTTTGACATCACACAACCTTGAATGTGTAACATTAGAAGAAGCTTCAGAATCCTCAATCCCAAACTAGAGGGTTTGACTACAGGGATCAATATCATTCACTTTTGTTTGTCTATCACATAAATGTTTCCAGATAATATATAAGAATATAGAGGTAGTATCTAATGAAATACCATTTACTAAAGTATGATTTCCTTAGTTGATTTTAGTGCACAGAGAGAAGCTAGATCAGTGTCTTAATTAAAAAATAAATCTCAGTGAAAAGGAAAAAGCAAATGATTTTTCCACAATGAAATCCAAATTCAGGAAGAAACTAGACCATTATTTTACTAGGGCATGTGCCTCCATTGAAATAATCAACTTATTGAAACATAACTTGCTACAGTTGCTTGGAACACTTGAAGGGAGCATTGAGACCTTGTTATTTCGGGTTACACCAAAAGAAGTAGCTTGATACCGAAGAGTCTCACTCCCTGCCATTGCATCCAACTGTTCCTCTGTTAGGTTCTCTGTGTATTGAACATTTGCCATTTGTTGAAGAAGCTCCTGACATAATCATAAGACTCCACTATTAATAGACAACTGGAAGTCTAATTATAAGTTATAAATTTTGTAACTTCTAGATCTGAATGATACCTGCAGAAGAACAAGCTCAATCCCCTGGCCCTTTTTCAACTGATTTCCTAGATACTGGAAAAGGCCTCTCAATTCCATAGATGGATACTTCTTGCACCTGGGAATAAACAAACTCTCTTCATGCAATTTCAAGTTATCAAAAAAAAAGAGAAGAAGAAGAGGTAGTTCTTTACATGAAGTTCCAAGTCCATCAACAATATTATTTGTATAACGTAAAAGAAATTAAAAAAAAAAAAAAGTATATCATCATCATGATCCATGGAGAGGGAGGGATAGCATTTCATCAAATCACTACAAGAACACCAGAACTTCATAACACGTTATGAACAAGCATGGAAATTAACGCATCATACAAGAGATTGAGCATCTCTTAAATGCATAACAGCTAATATATAGGAGACCAAATTAGTAGAAGCAGCCACAAGTGATCTCAACAAGAGAAAGCCCAGATAAAATAATTCCACCAATGAAACTTGATGAATTTTAAAGTGCTAATAAAATAAGTGGACTAGGAAATTAGCAAAAGCTATCATCTTAAGAAATTATGAAAGGCTTTGATGATTTTACATTGCACATAGCTGAGGTGGGAAATAGTCAAATTGATCCTTAATTTATTAATGAAACTATTTTAAATAAGTGTAGTATCATAGCAGTTCAAATAAATTCAAAAGCTACTGAAATGGGAAATCGACTGTCACATAACTTCAGCAGGTGTTGAACTTGGTGTTTTTGAAGCTTGAAGAGATGGCACGTTCAGCATACATAAGCGTAATAAACTAAGACAATCATCAAAGCCGTTTATCCATATCAATGCTACAAGCTCCAGATAGTCAACCAACAATCTCATCTTTACCAGTGACGATGTAACTGTGCAGCTTGTCTTGTATCTTATTACATCTCTACTCTTTGCTTTATTAATATAAATTATCCAAGGTAGTTACCAAACTATTATTATGCAGCACTGCTATCATTAAGATATGTTCTGACAAACAACATTCAGACACTCTAACATGTGATACACGCCTAACTGATATGAGCATTGTAGATCAACAAGATTCTTGTAATTAGCTCCCATCACTATCTAGTAAAGGCCAAAGTCGCCAATTAACTTTGATACTGCAACAATATTTCATTACAATAGAAGTCAATATTGAGGATGCCTAGGCACGCACAGGAATGAAGAATGGGAACAAAATAAAACAACAATAGAATCATGAGTTAATTAAGGAAACATCAGCTGTGAATAAATACATATACACTAAATATCATATAACCTTGCTAAAAGGTAGATTACCAAATCAACATGGCCAAAATCAAACCTCCTATTGATCCACGGACACAATATACATAACTTTAAAGAAAATCCTTATGTACCACAAACATATCCCGCAGACCAGTCACCTGATTCAAACTCTGATTCTATGACCAAAATCTCTGTGGACTTCACCTCAAGATCCTAGAGATTATTCTCATGGACAACCAAATCATTTGCATCCTACCTCCCCCAGTTCCTCTATCTGCTACAGATAACTAAGCTTGCCAACTGCCAGACTATAGTGAAATTTCTGTTCATAAGGAATTGGAACCGAACCCAAAAGGCCACACCAATTACTTCACTCAGACCTTATCTAAACTCATAAAATGCTACTCGGTAAAAGAATCAGCCTTCTGGATTGCATAGGATATATGCAAGAATAAGAATAGAGGTGATGGATGCAGTTTATACGCACCTTGGAAGAGGGCTTGTCTATTAAAACAGGATTCCAAAAGGATGGAAATAAACATGAAGTGTACATTTAACAACAAATTGAGGGCACTCTAAAAAATACAAATTTGGAACATGTGGATTTGGATGCTTGTGTTTTGGTATATACATGTATGAACGAAAGCATGCAACTAGAATGAATGATATTGACCATGACCACACAGGAGGAAAAAAAATTTAGTATCCCTGAACAGATTTGTGCTTATAAGATTATTTAAGCCATGTAATGGCCACAATAACATCAAGAAGAGCTTTGAGAACAAAATGCTCGGACAGGATAAGGAGGCAAACCATGAAAAGAGGGAGAGGAATAAAAGGGGAGAAAAGGTCAACGTGAAAAAATGAACAGAACCACTTAAATCCCTTGAAAGGTTTGTTAACTTGGCACAGTAAAGACGACTGAAGAGGATAAGGATCACAATCACAGACCAGAACCACCAATCATTAGAGAAGTACAGAAAAGCAATTGATCAGTTTGATATAAACAGATGAATTGTCCCCACTGCTCAAGAGGTTTGATTTTTTCTTAGCAAACTATGCTCCATTAGCATAAGATGTCCAGAGGTAGCAATGACACTTCATTAGCATTCAACACATCCTTTATAGCAGCTCTCAGGAAAAAAAAAAAAAAAATTGATCTCCCTTAGTTGAAACCTAGACAAGAAGTCTATCAAAAAACAGCCTAAGCAGCATTACCTTCCCTGCTCCCATCTCTCTCTCTGAAATAGGTTTAGCACAGTATTAAGAAATGGGAGTCAAGACAGTTATGCAACCCCAAAAATTACCAGCCTAATATTTCTGAACATGCATGTGTTGATATGACACTCTTTTTCCAGAATTATAAAGTGTTTAACATGTTACAGATATCCAGCAGCCTATGCACATGCACTATAATCAGCAAAAAGAAAAGCAAAGTTTTGTGGACTAAAGTGAACTACCCCCATTCAATGTCTTACTGAACAGCCAGGCAACATTGAGAGCTCTGACAAATTTCTGAGTGTCACCTCCACAAAGTTTGACTTTACTTCAAAAGCCTTCACACCGCGCATGGCATTCCAAATTAGCTATGCACACCTTCCATAATCATGAAGAAAATGTGGAGCCCTGGAGAACATTAATGTCATCACCAATACAAGCTAATGCAGCCACAATCAAAACTGAGTGCTCTCTCCCCTTGTTCAGAACACTCGTCTCATAAAACAACAATACACTTCTGCAGGACTCACATTGATAGGATGTAGTGAACATCAGTTCTGACCAAAACATATACTGCTTCCACGTTACATTATTGGAAACACTCACTGAAAGAAGCATCAAGGAGAAAGACAAGTCTGACAAGAATCTGAAATACCGGGAACCAAACTGCCTTCAAATTTCAGACCACACCTAAACACAGGAGGACAGTAAATGAAACACCAATTCCTAGCCATTTACATGTTCACTGAGAAAACCCCACCAAATAGCACACTTATGCATGCAAGAGACTTTCCATACATTCCACCATCAATCAAAATCTGCAACTTAAAAAGTATTTCAACATCAAGTACCTTTCAACAATGAACCGTATATCTCCGTCCCTTTTCTTACTTCAGAGTACTAGCTTGCTACCATTTTCCAATAATGTCTTCATTACAGTCACGAATATTCCAAGTTGCATTAGAAACTCTAACAGCAAGTTTTACTGAAAAATCCACCTCTGACACAGAAACAGCCCTTCTTTGAACAGGTTAAGTCATCAATCTTATCCGAATATTTATCTTGAAGAGACATAGAAGAAATAGAACCAAATGGAAGTTTGAATAATGCAATCCCAATGAACCAGGCGACCAACCCCCGAGCACAAAGCCAGCTTTATTGTAAATTTCAAGGTCACTCATAAATCTCAATGATCAAAGTAAGAATAGTCCTTTTCACCTCCAATCTCAAGTACGTCAAACTTGAAAAGTTGTCAAAGAAATAACATTATTGTCAAGTTTGAATAACGTAATCCCAACTACCCTTCACTTTTCTTCTTTTTTTTTGTTTTTTGTCTGCCAACTAACTCTCTTACTCGGATATCATTTCCCATTCCATCAACCTTCGACTGTTTTCATCTCCAAATCCCATAGATTTCTCCGATTAGTGCCTATTCAATGCCAAGTCATGTTGGAATTGTGATAACCTCCTAAATCAGGGACTCAGAAAATCTGCAATGTCCACAACAACCTCAGCTCCAGTTATCCTGCTTTTGCTGAGTTAAATCTGAAACCTGGAAACTGATGAAAAGCTTCCCAACATACACCTAAAACTCTTAATAGAATAGTTGAACACACAGATAGACTCCAAGGACAGACTCCAATATAACTCATGCAAAATATAATAAAACAAAGTTGACAACCAGATACAAAAACCAGAAACCAAAAGGGCAAACACCAAACACATACTTATGATTGTGCATATCAAAGTTCAGCAAGACATCCAACCTCTACAATAGATTAAAAGACTCTCAACATTGAATTCTCATCTGCTAAGCAACCATATTTGTTAAAGGCTCTAGTTTTGATACAGAGGAGCAATATAAATTCTACAAGTAGAAAAACACAAAAAAAAAAAAAGCAATGCTTTGGAAAAGAGGAAATGTAAACATACAGGTGACCCCAGAATGAAGCCAGTGATTGAAGCCAGTCTGACAAATTAAGGCCATCATCTTTCAGCTTATCACGGCCACCTTGCGCTAACCGCTCAATAACAACATATTCCAAAATATCATACTCGAGCTGCACGGATAAAGAGATATATTGAAATGACTGTCAATAAGCATCCCTAAATAATTGTATACACAAGGATATGCAAATTGTTCATTAATTTTGCAATCATTGTTGGAAGGGTCTACAGATCAGGACTCAGGCTTTTTTGTCAGTGTTCTTGCTGTTCAGATTAATGACCAGGAACACAATTGTTCTATGTGAAGTTGTGGATGTACAAATTGGGTGGTGGTCCCATGGATGCCAAATCCAAACACATCCATAGCTGATTTTAGTTTAGGCAAGTTAGCATTGTGCCTGCATTTTTTATACATACAAATATTCCTAGTCTCTTATTTTGTAAACAATTTTAATCAAGGCTAAATATATAATTTTCATCAAACACTTTGCATACACTCTGTGCAGTCACAAGAAAACATCTGCAAATCTTTCCCTCCTATTTAAATGGATGCTACATCTCTCTGTCTCTTCAGAAAGAAGCGAATCTTTTCCTCCTCAAAACAAAATACCATCACTGTTGTCTTCAAAACCAAACCAATCAACTTCAGAAACCTCTTTTTTTTAATATATCAAAGACCTCCTTTTCTTTTATCAATACCTCTTTCTTTCTTTTCTTTTTTATTACTTTGATGGCATCATAACTCATGCCATTTTTGTCAATTACAGTATTACCAATCTTCTACTTCTAATTTAACATTAAAATAGAGAAAGCTACTGGTCAGTTTTAAGAGCACAATTTCAATCAGCTATGTCTGTTTCCTATCTGAAAGAAAGTAAATAACTTCAATTCCAATTGCCTTAGCAACTACTCTGATATAGCTTTGATGAAACAATGAAATTCCAATCCTGAATTACATGACAAATGGAAATGAAGGTCCGTCTTTCACATGGACTGTTTTCAAGAAATACAGATGATAAATTGCGGTGGAAAAAATAGAGAATGAAAACTAGAAACATGAATATCAATAGAAGAGAGAGGAAGCATTATTTTGGACAATGAAATGACAAGGCCATAAAAGATTCTCAACTTCAAAAGGCTGCAAGTACAGATACATTCACACACCAACTACAGCTAGGAAGACATGCTAAACCAGTGATAGATTATTCCAACATTTCTAGTTCTTAATTGATTAACAGATTCAAAAATTAGATTTGAAATGTCTATAATTAAAAGAAATCATGTTATTAGAACATAAATTAAATATTTCTTTTCCAGCTAAAATCACATGAAACTGTAAGATTACAGTGAAAAAGTTTGTGGACAAGTAAAAGTAGAGAAGATCATTAGGTCCAATGCAAGAAGCTTTTATGGCTAAGTATGACTTCAGATTTCAAATGCTCAAGGAGAATTCATTGTAAATTAAGTGAGAATTCAAACCTGAGTCAAATACTTGAAAGCATCTACAACAGGAGAGATCATATCCCTGTACGACTCAATCTGCATGCCAAAAATCCAGCAAATAACTTTACCTTAGATTTGATTTATGAAATACAGATCAATGACAAGAAATGCAGCATTTTCTTTTAAAAAAAAAAGCACCTGGTGAATAATTGTTCTAAGGACAGTCATCGGGTTAGCATGAGCTAATTTTGCAACCATCCTACCCAGCTGCTTCAAATTTTCCTTCGCAAGCCTTTTCAATATCCTTCTAGTATCCAACTGCATGATAACAAAGAGAAACATACAACAAACACCAGTAAATAACAATGAATAGAGTATGATTATCTTAAAACACCAAGCTTGCAACAGTAAATTAAGATATGCATATGGTACCTTGGCTGTTTGTCTTGCAGCCAAAACCACTGGATTCCGCTCATCATCTTTTTCCCATTCACCATATAAACGATATCGCACCTGGTAAAAACAGAAGTAACTTAGCCATATTATCTGTCAAACTTACGCAACATCAAAACTGGAAGTATCAAAAGACAGTTATAAAGAAAGGCCAACCTCGTAAGGAAGGAGATTCATTACTTCCCAGATCTCCTGCCCAACAGCTGGATTTGCAGGTACCAACTGTAAAGAAGGAAGTAAACATGCTCCAAGGGCTTCCTCAACCCTTGACCTAGCTTCCCTTAGGTGCAAACGAGGAACTCGATTTCCAGGAATAAGAAGTTCACCATTTAGAGCTCCATCACCACTATCTACAAGCTCAAGTGCAGACATATAGTAACCTCTTAACACTCTACACACCTATCCATAAAGAAAACAAAAAAAATTAAAATAAAACGAATACAATGTAGATGAAAAAATTCACCAAATATTAAAAATTAAACCATGCACCTTGTGCAGCAATAATGTATCACGGTAAAGATAAGGTCCAACAGTGACAAGCATCTGAAAAAACTCTTTGGGAAGATCAATGAAAGAGACATGGCCTGAAGAACTTGTCACGCCCATAGCATCAATACCAGCAATTCTTGGTGACCCACAACTTTGAATATGTGTTTGACGAATAATATTATATGCTGATGAGACCAACTTTTCAATGAGCCTGAAAATATATCAAATCAAATACAAACAATAAAATTTCATTAATTTTCCACGCTGATGGGTAGCAGAAATAATTGGAACAGAGAAAGAGAGTTCTTTGTTTAGATTCTAAAAATTTACATAGTAACCTCAGTGCACATTCACAAAGACTATAAGGTGTGTGTCTGTGCCTGTTTTACAATGAACGCAGATATAAAAATAAATTCAAAACTTTACCTAAATAAGCCATTACATATTGGAGTATGTGCAACTGGATTGAGAGGAGAGAGACGTTCAAAAAGTATATGGGCATGATACCTGACAAAACAGAAGCCACATGAGTATGATACCTTGGGAAAATAGCAATGCATTACAATTAAACTAGTGTTCTACCAGTACATTTCTGTGGATAACAAAAATATCCATATGTTTGAGCTGGAAGAAATCATCTATTTATGGAGTATAAAAATGACACTCATTTGATGCAATAATTATTGCAAAATAAGAAGAAAAGGAAAAAAAATGAAATGCATTCTACTAGTGAGACCATTTTTTGAACACCAAATATCTCTGTTGAAAAACAAAAAAGGTGAAATGCATCAAAAGCTGGAAACAGTTTACCAAAATGAAAACTCCAAAAACTACACATACAGTTTCACACCAAACAATATAATCTCATCTCATAACCCTAGAGTCAAAACGCAGCCTCAGCAGCTAAGATAACTCCTAGAAGAAAAAACATAGAAACAATGGGTGAAAATATATTATCTCATGTTCTTTTCCTTCTTTTCATCCATTCCCCCAAACTCAATTATATAAAAGAAAATTCTTAGATAGTTAAACAATGAACAAAAAGGAGGGATCAAATCATGGATGAAAATAATTATTTTCAAAACTAAAGGAAAGAAACCAAAGAACATCACTTGACATTTCATTTTACCATAAGTTTTAAACAGCAAAGTAGGTTACAGGAACAAACATCGGCAAAAAATAACCAACATGGTATATTTGAAATCAAGAACATCTACCAAATATCTAAAAGTAGAGTCCAAAATTTATTCAATCAATAAGAATCATGGTGCAAAAGGGGAGAAGGCCAAACAAAAAGAAAGAAGGAAGGAAAACAAAGCTAACATTACAATCTGCAGACCATATTAAATCAAAGGTTTAGTATATTCTCAGATGAGAACGACAATTCAAGAGAAAAGGCAGTGGAAAAGTCTTCTAGGTAATTACAAAACGAAGACTAAATCAATAGAATGGAGACCAAGAGACATCATAAGCAGAGAATAGCAAAGCCACCACAAGCAGAAGTTATTTCCATAAATAATAGCAAAACAGAATGTTAATAAAAGAAAATATGATAGACATTCAGAGAGCCATCTCTTCATCATACTACATCGATTCGATGAGAAGAGAGTGAGAAACAGGAGCAACTCTAGAAATCACTCAGAGAAAAACAAAAGTCATGAACATGAAAAAGTTCCTCAGCAATGCAATGTCATTTGTGGAAAACATTGAAGCAGTTGCCAACTGACAATGATGACAATGGTATCCAGAGAAACAGTGGCAGATCAGTGGTAGACATGGATGGACACGCATGAAGAGAAGAAACCAGGTGGACAAGACCTATCCATTTGGACCTTTAAAGCTTTACTTTTCACTTTGTTAAATATGTTTCATGACATTTTCTTGGAGGGATAGGTGACAGTCCAGTGAACTGCATCATCCAATTTCAAGTTCAAATGTAATCTTGCAACATCACTGGAAAACTTTCATGTTCATGTACCGTTGTTTTTCTCATTGAGCTATGATATCTAGAATTCCTCTTGTTACATGTCCAATTAGGTGTGATGCAATCAATTCAAAGCAAAAACTTTTTATGAATGGGAATTAGCTAAGTAATTCAGGATATTTATAGTGCAACTGTTTTGCTGAAAACATTTTCCTGGATCTTGGAGAAAGAGCTGTTTTTTATTGTTTGACTATATTAGGGAAAACAATTTCTTGAATAATATATTATTTTCATTGGTAGTTGTGAAGTAATGGTGATAGTGAGGTGATCATAGTAGTCTAGGCATGGTTGCATTGGTGATGAAGGTATAGGTGTTAAAGAAGTGGTTGTCGTGGTAGTTATGATTGTAACAGGGTGGTGCTGCTGGTGGTGGCAAGGGAGAGGTCATTGTTGTGTGGTGGTGGTTGTGTGGTGACGGTGGTGGTTAAATTGGTATGCTGATTGTGATAAACATTTTCAGAATTGGCAGTCCTATGGAAAATATTTTGTCCTCCTCCACGAGGCTAAAATGTTCTCCCCAAGAAAAAAAAAAGGCACCATTTATGGTTGACTCGGGTTATATTTTCCTTAGAGCAGAATGTCAAGATTAAACCTACCAGTCATCCACAGAAAGGAAACCAGTTAGCAAGCCTAGAGTTTGATTGTTTTCAAGCTCAGAGAATCGTTCAGCTACTGCCTCAGCTTCCATGTCTAAGGCAGCAAAAAGATCTACAGTCACATCTCCTTGTTTCTCATCATCCATGAGGTCTTTTCCAGTAGCAGCCAGATTTATTTTCCCAATTTTGTTAGCCTGCAAAAATTTGCATAGAAAATCAAATCAAGAATGCACAGATGACAGGATTAAGACTAAGCATACTCTGAATAAAACAAAGCACATAAGCACTTCAAAACAAACAGAAAAGGGACATGTAAAGCCTTCACTACAAACCATTGATATACACAATACATTGAACATGATGGTAAAAAATATTAAAAACGAAAAACAAAACTGAAAGCAGAAAGATATAGTGGAATACTGTAATAAGGAACTATATGAACATGGCAGAATACCTCATCCAGCCGTTTAGAAGAAAACGTATTATAATGCTCAAAAGCCTCATCATCCTTGGGAAGTAAATGTGCACATCTGAAATGATGATCGAATTAAATTAGTTAAAAAGATAAAAAGAACAATCAAATAACCAATTGATACAACAAAGCAAAATAAAAGAATGATCAAATTGCAAAATATAAAACATAAAAAAAATGCTTCAGCACAAAATAGAGGTGTGAACTAAGGCATAGTGGAGCATAAACTTCAGAACGCTGAATAAAGAAGAAACAGGTAACATATTACAAACACAACAATATTTTCTCACACCAAAAATCTGATGGGCATTGCCAAAGTTAGCAGCTAAAATCAGCTGTTTGATCAGTGAAGGGTTTTTTTCATCATAATAGGAACAAATCATTAAGTACATGTCTTAATATAGGTAAATGAATGTGATCCTGTTCAGGTTGATTTATCAATTAGGATAAGCCTGATTAGTTACTACTTGAACATTTTGGCTCTTATTTTGTCAGGCACAACACCATAACCAACCTCAATGGACCATCACATGACTCACAACTGCCTCCCAGAAACAGCCTAGAAAATCTAATGAATGAAGAAATCCCAGGTGAACACATGTCCATTCAATTTACGAATCTTTTCTTAGTAGTAGGGATCCTTGAGTGATCTACAAGTAATATCTAATGAAAGGTTGGCTAAGCAATGCGGATTAAAATGCCTTGTTGATAGGGATGGCAATTCGATGGGCATCCATCCAATCCAATCCAATCCAAATGGATAGGTTTTTAAGGTAAAAAATGGTTTTGGTTTGGATTTGGATAAAATCTGAAAAAATATGTGGTTATGGTTTTCATGCTATTAAAACCAAAACCCGAACCATATCCAATCTGAAACACACACACACACACACACACACATTAAGTACAAATACAATTATAACTGGAAAATATTTGCAGTTATGAGAACCATATCCGATCTAAAACACAGACAAACAAACACACACAAGCTCCCATGTTCATGCATGCGTGCATGTGTTGTAATACATTTTTTTTCATTACTTATAAATACTCACTAACACTGCTCACAAGCTCTAAATCTAAAACGATCTCTAGCTCTCTGCTTTCTGTTTTTTAACTTATTTATTAAATTATTATATGTTAATAATATTTTTGACCAATTTATTAAAATTATTGATTTAAAAAATAAAAAATCACGCACTCAATTAAGTCTTTTTGGAAAAATAAGTGTATGGATAATGGTTAACCAAATGGATATTTGAAATCCAATGGTTTGGATATTGTTATCCAAGTTCCTTAACTGATGGGTAATGGATAGGTTATGGTCATCCTGCTATCCAAAACCATGGGTACCCTTTGCAATCCTTATTTTTTGGTGTATTGCAAGACTATAAAGACCCTAGTCTAGTATCCTATAGATAAAAAAGATGCATGCTACACAGCAAGAAATAAATAATCCTCATAATTGAAAATAAAATACCCTTCAAGATAAAACACACTCATTTTCTTGTTGATTATCCACTCATTAGACTAGAAGGAACACTATCCTATGCCACACCAAAAAAAAAAAAAAACACAGCTAAGCATAAGGAACCATGAAATTACAATCAACTGGTAACCATGAAAGCACTTGAAATAAAATTTAAAATGATTAAAATAGCATCAATGCTATCTGCAAATTAATTCCAATCTTACACCCAATGAATTCTAATCGTTAAATGGATACATTATTTCCATTTAATCAATTCACATAAAAATAACAGGTTAAGTTTCTCTGTTTGGCAACTACCAAAATAAGTATATTGATGGAATTTAGATGATCAGCTAAAGAACTTCTGACAACTAACAGTTCTTGAAACATTACAAGCTATTAAGCATTGAAGTAAATCGCTGATCACAGAACTTTAAGGAATCACTGAGCTATTGAATAAAAGCTTGGGTAAGCCACTTACATGCTATCAAGATCAATGAACTCTTCCTTCACCAGCAAAGCCGTAAGCTTATAGAGCCCAAATGGGACATGGCTACTTAATTCAATTCTCTGATAATATTGAAACTTAAAACCAAGAATTTGCGATGCATGCGACTGAAGAAAAAAAAATCAATGGTATGAGCAACCAGAACTTGTGTGTTAATTAATCATAAATTTTGAACATTTATGCCAACCTTAACAGCAATGATTCATACCTTAGGAAAGATGGGTATCAATTCCAAAAAGACATTGCTATCAGGCTGAAGTTCAAAACACTCTAAAACCTGAAGATCATGAAATAATTGCAATCCAACAATTAACCTCTGATTATCAATTTCTGCATCAGTACAACAAAGTGAACTGTATGAAAGCAACAAATAGGAACAACTTACAATGTCAAAAACACGATTTGGGTCCAAATCAAAATGACCAATCAATGACTGCAGAGATTGCATTAATAAGATGTGAGAAAAATGAGGGTCAGTCCAAGCTAAATTATAAGTCAAAAAATGCAAGCCCAAGTCAAAACCTTAATGATGCCTATTGTCGCTGCTGATGTATTTTCAGTTGTATCTTCAGAACCTTGATAGAGAAGAGTAACCTGCACATCCACTTGAACAATAAATATCATAATGAAACCTACTGTACATGCTAGACCACTGATGCAGTATAGGCACAAGAAAGCTCACTCATTCGTTGCTAGTTTAGTACATTTAAAATTTTATTATTATTTGATAGCTTTCTAGAATTTATTTTTTGTTAAAAGGTAGTATTTCATAAGGACGATTCATAATCTGAGTATCATTTCTACTATTTATTTGAACCCTCTCCTACTGGACATGCTAGACCTTTTTTTATGTTATTCTTATTAGTTTAGGTTGCTAGGGTTTCTTGGTGTCTATATAAGCACCATATCCTTTGTGGGGGGGAAGAGAGAACATGTTAATGATGATTCAGAATCTAAGTATCGTTTCTTCTATTTTTTTGAACCCTCTCCTACAGCTTTTCCTTCACACTCTTTAGCCCTCTCCTATAGAGAACTGCCCTCACCTATAGGGCATTGTTTCTTCTTGCTTGATCTTTCCATTTCCTGTAGGGAATTGTGCTTTTTCTATCTTTGCTATTACATGTCTACATGGACCAATAAAGTTATCTGACCATTCCATACCTAAATAGATTGAGTAAAAAAGAATTCAAGTGAAAACAGCTAGCCAAAAGCTTAGTGATGCAGGAAAGCCTACTGTGCTCTTCTGAATCTGACTTTTTTGAGGTTGTTTAGGGCTGTTATGTTGTGAATTTAAGCTCAAATATGAGGAAGGAAGTGGATGGATTCTAGGATTAACACCTAGAGGATAGAAACACAAGGGGAGATTAAGTCACACAATCAAAAGCAAATTGCTGGAATTTTATTCATCAACTGTCAGTAAAATATTAAAATACTAGATAACCTTTATACTCCTAGTCCAACAAGCACTTGTTTTCCTATATAAGAAATCTATTTAGAATAAGAAAAAACTAACAAAGCTAATTACTTTAGAACTACTATAATACTAAACAGAAAATAGCCTAGACCTAGAGAATTTTCCAAGTCTTTCCAGAAAAATCTAAAAATTACAGAAATACCCTTCTATACAAAAAGATATTAATCTTCCTTCTTTTGCAGTCAGTGTCCTTGCTTGGCAAAAACAAAACCTCGAGTTTTGAAGTGTCGATATAGCAAAACCCACATAATGTGCAGTGACCTCCATTAAATATGAACCACTTTGTAGGAGACAGTAATGATAATATGAATTTTGGGCTATAAATTTCAAAATCAAAATCATGAACAATGACTCCATTTGCATTGCCAGTTGCACTTTGTCCTTGCTATCCTTGCTTTCATTAACATTCTGCTCATCAACATTTTTCTTTTGTTTGGCTACATCAAGTGTAACACATATTTCTTTAAGCTTTGTAATAAACTGATTAGAGAATGCCTTTTCCCGTTCACTCTCCAAGTCATTGTCATTCTGAAATACATTTGTTTCTTGTAGAATCTACCCTTCGGAAAATAATTTCAATTTTGTCTTATCAACAAAAGCAGGTTGCTCTATCTCTTTTGCATGCCATTTTTTAGTTTCAGCTTGCTGATTTTGCTTCTCAAGTTGCTGATTAAGATTTTCAGTACCTTCTTCCATGATTCAGCATGCCATTGGGATCTGTTGCTTGATCATTAGCCAACCCTTGCAAACCTCGATGTCCAAGTTCAGTGCTAGGTTTAGGGGTTGTTTCAATAGGATACTTGCTTAGAACAGACTTTGTCAAACTATCTAATGCTACTTGCACCCTACCAAACCTAGCATTGTGAGATGTTTCCATTGTATCAATCCTATCATTTGTAGACTTAACTCTTGCCCAACTGCTTGCATAATGCTCTCAAACTTAGAATTCAATTTGTTGACAGACAGTCACCATAATTGAAGAACACATCCTAGGATCTTAAAGCTCTGATAGCAACTAATGTAGGGCAGCCTAGGAGGCTGTTCTGAATCTGACTTTTTAGAGGTTGTTTAGGGCTGTAGCGTTGTGAATTTATGCTGGAATATAAGAAGGATGTAGATTGATTATAGGAGTAACACCTAGAGGATAGAAAAACCTATGCTTTTCACCTAGGTTCTTAGGAGTCACACCTAAGGGGAGGTTGAGTCACACAATCAAAAGCATATTTCTGGAATTTTATTCATCAACTGTCATTGAAATATTAAAAGGCTTATTTTAGACTACATAAACCTTATATAGAGATGCCTACTCCTGGTCCAACAAGAACTTATTTTCCTATATAAGAAATCTATTTAGAAAAGGAAAAAACTAATAAAGCTAATAATTTAGAACTAATAAAATACTAAATAGAAAATAGCCTAGGCCTAGACATTTTCTCCAGATTTTCCAGCAAATCTGGAAATTACAGAAATACCCTTTTATACAAAAAGACATCAATCATGATTTTTTTTGTTGTCTGCATCGCTTAAGGACCATACTTGGCATGTAGAGAATAACTCGACAAGTGCATGTGCTTTATAATGGAAGATAGAAAGACAAACTTCAACAAACCAAACCAAAACTAAAGATACACCATCCCAGCTTCTATCAATCATATAGGTTGTAAAAAATAATCTAATCTTAAAATTCAGCTCTGACCCAATAAGATTTGCCCCTTGCAGACTTCCACTTGATATAAGACTCCAATTCTAAGCATGACCGAGCAAAGCATTATAACTAAGCAGCAAATCATGCAAACCTGACCAAAAACAGCAAGAATATGATGCATAAAAAATGTTTCTATTGCATAGAGCAGTCTCATCAGGGATGCAGCATTACAGCCTCATCTACTTTCATAATATTTTTCATTTACTTGATAAGGAAAAAAAAAAAAGGACACCCCTATTTGATCATGTCAAGATACAATTTTACAAAAGTAATTTAACTTTTGATGTAATATATATACAAACATTGCTCAAAAGAAAATAACAAATAAAAAGCTACATTCCAAGCAAAACAAAATATCCATACAGCTCAAGAAAATGCTCCAATCATTTATTACATAAGAGATAAAGGCCAAGAAAATAAGCCCCCCAAAAATAGCTAGTACAAAAAAAGTCCACAACAGAGCCCACTTGTTAAACAGAAATAAACAGAGGGAAAAACAGGTAGAAGAGACTAAGAAAAAATTAAGATCTTGTTACCATAAATATAGCTAAAGGGTAGCTGACTGGCTGCAACTAATTGTCAGTAACATGATAAGGCGCATTAACTAAAGCTAGGACTGACTGAATAAACAGATGCTAAGAAATACTTCCTTTGCACCTAGGTTTTATAGACACAAACACAACCTCAAGTTTCAACATTAACCACATGGAACTGTTTGCTATAACTCCAAAATATATACATGCAAACATAGGCTACACTTTTAATTCAGATATCTATTAATATTTTTTGGACGTAGACACAAACACATCTTGAGAAATGACCCAAAGCAAAATAAACATAAACAGTGAAGCACAAGTAAAATAATGAAATGTTATTTTTTTAATTCTTTGTTTTCAAACAGCAGTCCTTTATCAAGAAAAAAAATGGAGCCTGCGCATTTTTCATTCATCTAATAAAACAGCCATAATTTGACCATTCTTCACTTGGACAACTTTCACACAAACATGATTTTTCACTGTGTTCAATGCACAATCTAGAATGTCCAAATTGCCAAGTTGCAATTGCTTTCACTCCAATTCCAAGGTGGAATACAGGATTAAATTAAAGAAACTTTATGGGATACACTATCAGCAGTAAGAACATGATTTGTTATCATGCAAGGAAACCATTTGGTTATTAGAAACATAAAACACAGTTCTGATGATGAACTATTGCACTATTAAAAATATAGTTATCAAAGAACACAAGAGCAAACAGTTTTAGAGCCAAATGTTCCTTGCGTAGAAAAATCTATTGGGTTGAAGCAATAATGTACTCCCAGTATGCGAATACAGATTAAAATTAAAGAAAGCAAACCTCTACTTGAAAGCCTCCAATATTTTATATGATGAGAGAAGAATCAAACAAAAAATCATGTAGTGACATGACTAATTGCAACAAATGTTCCCTCCATTGGCATACATTTATAAAAGGGTGATCAACAAATTAGAAAACTTTACCAAAGAAAGAATCAAAAATTTAGCATACCAGTTTGGCATAGCCCTCACTCTCTTCACGGAGAAGGTTAAATTTTGTTTGCTGATAAAGAAGACGAGTGTTTACCCTGACCTGAAAGCAATAGAAAAATATATCAATTGCATGCAGGATTAAGTAGTCTCATAGAACTCTAATGCAAACTGCTTCAAGTGATTATCATGGTCGCAAAAAATTAAATGATTAACTCATCAGCTGCAATAAAAGATCTTCCATGTCTTCCTCAAATTTCATTTGAAAGAGTGCAAGATCAATTAACTCATCCAAACATTGGCATAATTTCTTGTTATTTATGAAAAGCAAAAAGCTATATGCTAATCAACATTCAATGATCAGATCAAGTGTTCGGAAACAAAGTCCAGAGGATGTGCAGGGAATTAAGTTTACTGAAGAACCCGGGATGGATATACCCAAAGTTGATGAAAGTAATAGCTCCAAATTCAAAACAATAGTTTTGTGTTTGTGAACATTTTAATTAATTCACCTCTTTGCCCTTCAAGTCTTGAGCCTTTATCTTTATCATTTCAGCTTCCCACAGAAATTCCTCCTGCAAACAGAAAACATGTACCTAAAAATCTTCTTTTTTTACTAAGGTCTAATAAGAGACCAAATAAGTGTTATGAAATGATGAGCAGCAAAAACATTTTAAATGAACAAAAGATCCACCTCACAACGCTCTTGGAAAAACCTCAATGGTACCAATGCAGATTCGACCAGCCATTTTGCCTGAAAAGAAGGAAAGGACTTTATATTAAATAATGACTGCATAGTAACACTCAGATGGGGGAGAAGCATGGAAAGCCAAATATCAAAAAATGAAGAAGATATAGGTTATCCCACACATTAATAAATAATTCAGTACTGTGCAAGGTATATTGCATGTTTATGTTAACAAATAAATGGCATACAGACACTGAACAAACAGAAGGGACTAGACAAACAAAGCATTAGACTCACAAGTTAAACTAAATGGAAAAGGCACCACCCTACAAGCCCCATGGCATCATACTGAAAAAGGAGAATCCAAGCAATACTTATGTTTCCTTAAGGATTCTCATATATGTTCCATCTAAACCAAAAAATGATGCATGGACAAGAACAGGTAACCAAATACGCATCATAGCATGGCACTGTCAGTATATAGCAGATGATGCTTTAGAATAAGAGGGAAACATTTAGTAGTGAAATTCACATATGTTGTAAGAAAAAATTTGGAGGGTTTCCAAACACGAATGCTATGGTTGAAATGATAAAATGAACACAAAATTAAAGGCATGTTCTGCACTAAGCAATGTGAGATTCACATGTATAAGCAGATAACTGGAAACATCAAAATAAATAGCATAGATCAGTTATTTCCACGCAACCAAAAAAAACCAGAAATTTGAGCATCAAACATACAAATAAAGCCCTTAAAAATTATCAATACTAACCAACTTTATGAGACGAGAACGGTACTCTCCAGACATTGTTAGCTGCAAAATAAGTCAAGCATATGAGTTTATAATAAAAATCATTGATTACCACAGATAATACGAGATCAAAAACTTAGGTTCCAAAGCCACTGTGTGGATTAAGCAATACAAAATAGCATATCAAACAATAATGATGATAGTTATAACTATGTGAAGACAAATAAGTCAAATTCACGTTAACTCTGATATACACGATCATAAAAGGAGAGGGACCAAAAAAACCAACATCTTGAGCCATTTGAGTAATAATATCAGCGAAATTCGAACCCAGCCCTACGGCAGACACTTTATCAACAAACTCCACAGAATCCAGAGCCGCTTTACACTTTTGAAACGGCAGTTCTCCTCGAACCTAAAACAATCAATCGAGACATATTCAAGTAAAAATAAACTCAAATTCGAAAGCAAGTATAAATAATAGTAGTACCAAGTTCCAGGAGAGCTCGTAGAGAAATCGAAGAATAGGCACGGGGTGAGGGAGACGGAAGCTATGGTTTCCGCCCTTCAATTCACGGAGAAATTCTTCGGTTACATACAAACACTCCATTGGAGGGAGAGTTGTTGACATGTTTTTTTTTTCAGTCTTTATTTTATATTTTAAAAAGAGTTATGATTTCTTTTAGGGTTTGGAGAATTCAATTCAATTCAATTCATTGGGATCATGACATAGCTTTGTGGAGGAATAGAGGGGGGAGGGGGAGTGAAGTAAACCCTAAGTGAGACGATGAAATGATGAACTAGAGGGTCTTGTCCGGTCCTCGTGTATGATTCAGCTGTGAGCGTTAAAGTTAAAACGCTGCGTTCGAAACTTGGATGAGCATTATGTTTCAACTTTTTTTTTTTTTTGTTAACATTTGAATTTTATTTTTAAATTAATTTATTTTCATATTTTTTGATATTTTAATATAATTTAAAAATATTATAAAAAATAAAAAATATTATTTTAATATATTTTCAAACAAATATTATTTTGAAAAGTATTATCAACCATATTCCCAAATAACTACTTATATAATATATGTATTTAAGAATATTGTTAAAATTGCATTTCTAAAAATTTAAAAATTTTGTTTTGTTTATAATTAATTTTATAAATATGTTTGTGTTATATTGTTATATTTATATCAAAAATAATTTTTAAAAATAATATTTTAATATATTTTTAAATTAAAAAAACTTTAAAAAATAATTTATACTATATTTTTAAATGATCTATATTAACCATCATTTAACCCTCCCTATAGCATGGATAGCATTCCAAGTTAAGTGAATTTCTAATACAAGAAAAGAAAAGAAGACATTAATATAAACGTATTTTAGATTATGGGGAAATTCTTTTAATTAAAAAAAACTAAAAGAGGGCTTTTTATTATTATTGTTCACCTCCTTAAATGATGTTATGGATTGGAGCAATTTTTTTTATTTTTTGTATTTGACTTTCAAAATTTTATTTGATGCAATTTAACTTTTTAAACTCAAATTAGCACACAATTGTATATTTTAATATAAAAAATGGCCGAATTAAAAGATAGAGAATTGTAGTGAAAAAGACACGTAGAATAGGTGGCGTATTTGAAATTTATTTTAAAAATTTATTTTAGTCTCTCATCTTTTTGAGCTATTAAGTAACTAGTCCATGTAATTTATAAAAATTTAATTTTAATATTAAATTTAATTTTTCTTATTTTTCAAATTTTTTTTATAGGAGTAGTGAGAAAGAGTCATTGGATTCTAACGTTGAAAGAAAAAATAGTAGTTGGTGATGATTTAAACAGTCGGATTTTGTGTAAATAGTTTTATATGACAAGAAGAGTTTAGATTGTTATTTTTTTACCTTCAAAGTATCTTAAAAAACATATTTGAATTCGGGAATATTTTAGGTTTTAGGTAGATGTTAGGTTTTTTTGGGTTTCATACCCTGACAATTTCTTGTTTTTTTTAAATGAAATAGTTGGGATAAATGTTGTTCATCCCCGTTAACTTTAAAAAGAAAACAAAGACATGTGGGATGTTGCTTGATAAGTCATGTGCTAAGCTTAGCTTAACAACGTGTTAGACCTAGTTATGTGTATTTTTTTAAATAAACTTTTGAGTTTGATTTAATTAATACTTTTTCTCTATAATTTTTTTTCCTTTTATTTGGCTATTTTTAATTTTTTTTAATGATATTGTGTATATTTAATTTTTAAAAGGTTGATATGATTCATTTATAATTTTTCTAAAATTTTATATATATATATATTAAATTTGTTTTTTAATAAATATTGATTATTTTTTAAGATTTTTAATACATTCAATTTTGCATAATATTTTTTTTATTCATTAAATTTTATATGCGTGTTAGTTTCTTATATAAATTTAGTTTGATAAATAAATTCATTAAACACAACTAAGTAAATTACCTGTGTTGCAATATTAGTTATCTTGATATATATTTATCTTTTAGTTTTTTCAATTTTGTTTTTATTTATTGTTAATAAGTCTCTTTTTTTTTCATTTCTTTATGCAATGTTTATTGATTTGGTTTGTTAGATGTGTGCATAACTTTTTTGAATTACATATAAGAATTGTTTTATATAAAAAAAATGTACTTGATTTCCATGTTTGCCCCTTTAAAATTTCAAATAAACCCTTCAATATGTTATTCCTTCAGATTTGATATATATTCTTTTGATTACTATTTATTTTATTTAAAATAATTTATAAAATTAGAATAATTTTTTAATTTTACCTCTTTAATTTAGTCTCCGTTGTTTTGATTATTATTTGTTTTGTTTGATGTATATTTTTAAAATGATTTTTTTATAATTCCATCATTTTAGTTTTTCTCCCTATCAAACGCCCTATGATTTATTTTTATTTTTATTTTTTTAATTTTGTCCTATGATTTATTTTTATTTTAATTTTTTTAATTTTAATCTTTTTACTTTTGTTTTTTATTTTGGATTAACCTTTTTACTTTTGTTTTTTATTTTGGATTTTTGTGTAATTCTAACCCTCACAATAAAGGTTGTCAATTCCGTTTCAGTAGGTATTTAATTTTTCAATTGGAATAAAATGTTTCAGTTCTAGAGTGTTTAGGTGTGTCATTTTGGGGTTACACTAGACACACACACACACACACACAATACAAGTACAATGTCAAACAAATATAATTTAAAAATTTTAAAAATTTATAAATAGTCAAGATTAAATAAATATTTAAGTTAAAGTAATTCAACTTAAACAAAATATCAAAATATTATGAAAGTAAAATGTTTTAACAAAAATATTTTAAATATAAAGTTAGGTCAATGTTATCAAGGCCAATGAGATATAAAATATATTTTGTTCCTACAAAGTATAAACATTAAAAAAACAAGATGAATATAAATGATTAGTATTTAAAAGTGTATTTTTATCAAGGTTTTATATCAGCATTTTATACTTGAAGTACCAATAACTCCTTAACTAAAACATGTTTTATAATAACAAGTCTGATACCACAAAACACCTTTAATTTATAGTAAATATTTTTTTTAAATATAGGCCTATTACATAAATTAAATGATTGATTTATGAGTTCAATTACTGAAATTGAGAAGACAAAGAAAGGGTGAAGTTTAGAAAAGAGATACTGATTCAGTTCAAACTAGAACACTATTCAGTTATTGGGTCATATCTAGAGCTGTGAAACTTAGATTTATGTTTGATCTATATGGACGGAAAGCTAAGACACGGGTCTAAAACATTCATGTGGAATGCAAGACTCAATTCTGTTATTTGGAAGTCCAAATTTTAGCAATAACAAAAAAGTCTAAATCTATCTTACAGCCCAGATAATATTCAGTGTTCACCCCATATTTTAAGTTGTAGAAATTAAAATGACCTCAATTTTTTTAGTTGGAAAGCTTAGATAATTTTATAGAACTTCCGTGAATTAAGTCTGTTCAAATTCTGATGTTGGCAATAATGTTTTGTTCAGATAAGATAATAAGAATTGTTACCAAGTCAAGATGTGGTAACTCACTTAACAATTAGTCAATAAATTAATAATTCTTAATTTTGTCTTATAAAAGGAGGTATTTGTCATATATTTAGGTATCTTGGTTAGCAGATCAAGATCATGTTCTTGCTCTCTTTTTATTGTAATGCTTAAGTTTTGTTTTTATTAATCTCTTATTTATGCTTACCATTTCCTTTCCTTTCCTTAGTTAACTTTTATCTTATTTATATTCTTATATTGTTTATTCATGTTTCTCCTTTTTATTATATTTAGTTAAGTTTATTATGTTAAGGTAAAAAGGTTACACTAATAGTGTAAGAATAAGGATAGTGTAAACTCAACATGAATTTTAATGTTTGATACTAACATGTTTTGTATTTGTTATCTTATTCACTCTTAATACTTTGCTTGTTAAATGGTTAATCTGGATTTATGTTGTATAACCTTTAGTACAACCAATACTTGACACTTTTATAGCTCAAACCGTATAGTATAACCAACACATATGCTATGAAAGGAACTTGATTTGTTGTTAACATAAGTTATAATTATGAATGTCTGACAACATTTACAAGTATTAACATTATTCGAATAAGATAACTAATGTAATCAAGTTAATAATTTGTGTATGGTTTCTAGTTGAATAATAAGATTTATACTATACTTATTTGAAATACCATTAGTGGATCCTCTAATCTTGATATTTGCTTTTATTATTATTTGACCATCACATTGATCTTCCATCTCAAAGTTCTCATCAACTTCTTCTTCTTCTTCTTCATTATTACTTTTACTATTACTGTTGTTGTTGTTGTTGTATTATTAATCTCTTTATGATTCGACTCCGATCTTGCCAGGTTATTTATTATTTCGACACTTCTACACTTGAGTGAAGACATTAATTTTTTAGTCATGTCAGCAACACCTTCATCATATTCATTAATAATTTTAGTGTTATATTCCTTTATTGACTCATTATCCTCTATAAAGAATATTTTAAAATCAACAATCATGATTCATTTAGGAATTAAATGGAGCTGATCAAACCATTTTAAACATGGCTGATGGTATATATACATTATTGTATACCTAACATCTATCAATATCTCTCATTTATATTGGATTAGTTACATCATATAAAAACATCTTCTTAGTTGCTAGTTAATAATAGGTCTTTAAGGTGCATAAATATTCACATTACCTTACTAGAATACAATTTATAAGGCATTGTATTGCCCAAATACAAGTTGGGTTATCAGTAAGTAATGTTGTTAGGCTATGTAATTAGACTAAAATTGTTTATGAACTTGTGGAGTATGTGACACTTCATATATAATCATACTTTAGTGCTATGGGTTGATGTTGTATTTGCAATATAGGCATGTGATTCCTAGGATATGATTAGGAACTTTAATACACCATTTTAAAGATTAGGCACAAAAGAATAATTTAACATGATCTTAAAGCAAGCGAACAACTAAACTAAAGCATTTAACTAAGACAATAATAAGGGTAAAAAAGATAGACAATGATCAATCCCTGCATAAAAAAGTCATTTATATTATTTACTAGCGGTTTAAAGATTCAAACAATATAGAGTAAGCTAGGATAATTCTATATATGACTTTAATAAAAAACTTGATTTATCAAACATTTGATTTAAAAATATGTAGCAAACTAATTACTTGTGCTTCAAGGGTAAGAAAATTAAAGAAAATGACACGATATCATATAACAAGTTAAGCTTTGAAAATAGGTGATCTATATTTCTTACCTAAACGATATCTTTAAAAAGATTAGGAGAACTATTATATAAATAAAAAATGAACTAGTTATTAGGTGATATATTAAAAACCAAATGGTATATGAAAAAATACACCAATCTTATTTAATCATAGTGGTCATATTATTTCAATATTCCAGGTGGTCACCTTGTGAGATAACCAAAATCTCAAAGTTTTATATGATTATCCTATTAAGATAACCAAATATGTCTTAAAGTTTCAAGTATGATCACTCTATTAAGATAACTAAATATGTCTTGAAATTTCAAGTATGATCACCCTATTAATATAACCAAATCTTATTCCATTAGAATTACATGACTAAGTTATGATCACCCTATTAATATAACCAAATCTTATTCCATTAGGATTACATGACTAAGCCATATCCATCAAGATCACATGATTAAGCTTTATTCAATAAAGATGGTCCAAGCCATGTTCATTTGGTTCATATAATCATGCCTTGTCATATTAGGATAACTAAGTTATATGAAATCAATATAGTGCTAAACAAGCAAGTAAGGTTCTAGCCCAGCGGTGGGAGGGGCTTGTCCTCTTTCTCCGCACCTGGGTTCGAGCCTTACTGATTAGTACTTAAAAGTGCATTTTTATCATGGTTTTATATCATCATTTTGCACTTGAAGTATCAATAACTCCTTAACTAAAATATGTTTTATAAGAATGTATCTAATAATATAAGATACCTATAAATTGTGGTAAATGTCTATTTTTAATGCAGGCCTATCACATAAATGAAAGGATTGATTGATGACTTGAAGAACTTAAATTGCAAGGATAAAGAGATGGCCAAACTTAGAAAAGAGATGTCGGTGCAATCCAAACCGGAACACTGTTCGGTAAATGGGTCATATCTGGAGCTATATATCTCAGATTTAGGTCCAATTTATATGGATAGAAAGGTAAGACATAGGCCTACAACTTTCATATGGAGCCCAAGATCTAAAAAGGCCATTATCAAGTCCAAATTGTAGCAACAACAAAGAAGCCCGAATCTGTCTTCCAGCCCGAGCACTGTTCGGTATTTTGGCCATATCTGGAGTTCTAGAAGTCCAAATGAGCTGAAATTTTTACACAAGAAAGCTGAGACAATTGCCTACAACTTTCATGTTTGCAACTGGCTCCAGTTTTGACGTTATCAATGACGTTTTGGGCAGACAAGAGAAGATAAGGATTGTCACCAAGTCAAAAGTTGGTCACCCACTTATCAATTAGTCATCAAATCAATAGTTCCCATTTTTGGCCTATAAAAGGAGGCATTTGCCATGCATTTAGGCATCTTGATTTCCAGATCAAGATCATGCTCTTCCTTTCTCTCTTTGTATTTTTTATGCTTTGTTTTCATTAATATTAAGTTTATGCCTTTCATTTCCTTTCCTTTACTTAGTTAACTTTTATGTTCTTATTTTGTTTATCTATTTTGCTTTCTTTCATTATGTCTAGCTAAGTTAATTATGTCAAGGTGAAAAGGTTACACTAATGGTGTAAGAATAAGTATAATGTAAACTTAATATGGACTTTAATGTTTGATACTAACATGTTTTATATTTGCTATCTTGTTCACTCTTTAATACTTTGCTTGTTAAATGACTAATCTTGATTTATGTTATATAACACTTGGTACAACAAATGCTTGGCACTTTCATAGCCCATAATGTATGGTATAACCGACACCTGAGCTATGAAAGGAACTTGATTTGTTGTTAACATAAGTTATAATCATGAATGCTTGACGAGATTTACAAGTATTAGCATTAATTGAATAAGATGACTAATGTAATCATGTTAACAATATATAATCTGATTGGAACCTCCTTTGTGTGTGGTTTCCAATTCAATAATAAGAGTTTATACTATACTTGTTTGATATACCATTAGTGGAACCTCTAACCTTGACATTTGTTATTATCATTGTTTAATCGTTACATTAATATTCCATCTCAAAGTTCTCATCATCTTCTTCTTCTTCTCTTTCTTTATTATTATTATTATTATTATTATTGTTGTTGTTGTTGTTGTTGTTGTTGTTGTTGTTGTTGTTGTTGTTGTTGTTGTTGTTGTTGTTGTTGTTGTTGTTGTTGTTGTTGTTGTTGTTGTTGTTGTTGTTGTTGTTGTTGTTGTTGTTGTTGTTGTTGTTGTTGTTGTCATCTATAATTTATACACTTAACCTCCTTGTGGTTCGACCCCGGTCTTGCCGGGTTATTTATTACTTCGACACTCCTGCACTTGGGAGAAGACATCAATCTTTTAGTCGTGTCACTTACCATGCACGCCTGTCACCCCCGCGATGCCTTACCTGTTCACTGGGCTTGCAGGATGTTCAGTGGGCCGTGGAAATTAGTCGTGGTGTGCGTAAGCTGACCCGGACACCCCACGTAAATTAAAAATAAAATAAAATATAGTGCTAAACTAAACACTAAAGGTGATCACTTTATGAAGATAATTAACATATAGTTATTATATCAAAATGATTAATCATTATTGATCCTAAATGATCACCTTGGTAAAATGATTGATACGAGGTCAACATGTTAAGATGACTAATCTTTAATAGTTACAAATGATCATGCTGTCAAAATGCTCAACATGTAATAATCAGATAAAAAATGACCACCGTTACAAAAATAGTAAAAAAATAGGTACATACGATCATCATGCTAGATGACCATACTTTTAGTTGTAGTTAGAAGTAGGCATATCATATTCAGATGACCACCATTTAAGGTTACGTGTTTTCTTTACAAGTATGCTAAACCAATATGAGCATCATTCAAAGTAACACTGTTTTTTTTTTAATAAGTTTTTCTTCTTACAATGGTCATGTAAGTATTACAAAAAAAAGAAAGCAGTTATCATAAACAAATAATTTCTCATATAAAAAAATTAATTAAAAAAAACCCTAAACAACAGGCTTAGGATAAAAAAACCCCAAACAATAAGCCTAGGCCACCCAAACACGCTTAGTTAGGCCATACAACCTAGGTTTGATATGAAAAAAAAATGAAAAAGAAACCCAAGAATGATTGACTTACACACCGCTATATATATATATATATTCATATTCTAGTTTTGACACATATAGAGAGAGAGAAGGGGAGGAAAAACACTAGCCAAAAAAATCAATCCCCTTTTCTTTTCCTTCATCCAGTCTAAAACAAGTGTAGTGTTATTAATCTTTTATTGTATTTTATTCTCAAACACGAGCTAGCTCGTCCAACATTGTTTGATCACGAGTTTTTAGACACTGTTAGAGTGATGTAAATTGAATCCTCCAAGATATTCTATGAGCCATGAGTAGCTTTCAGATGGGCTACCTAACATGCCACTCGTGCTTATCGATCTATATTAGTTTTGTATTTTATATAATTGAGTCCTTAGTTCTATCAATTTTAATAGTTATTTGTTTTTCAAATTTTTAATTTCTTTGATTTAAACTTCATTGGCTAATAAGTAATTTTTTGAATCGATGTGCATTAGTGAACATTTTTTGTATAGTTAAAAAATATTATAGCACTTGATTTTGATTTTATTTGTTTTTGTAATTGAGAAATACTTTTACAAAAATTTAATTTAGATGTTTTTAAATCGTTTTAATATATTAATATTAAAAATAAATTTTTAAAAAGTAAAAAATATTATTTAAGTATATTTTCAAATAAAATTAAAAATATCTCTATTTTTAATGTATGAAAGCTACTAAAAAAAATCTTTGGTCAATGATGATGCTGACAAGAGCTTTTTTATTTTATTTATTTATTTATTTTTTGTTTTTTATTTTATTTATTTATTTTTTCTTTTTGTAAACGTGAAATTGCTTATCCGTTCACTAAGATATGCCATTTTTGCACGTTTAATGTACTTATAATTTGCGTTGTCTCATGGTTGCTTAAATTGAATCTATCTAAAGTTTGATTGAGTCGAGTCTAGATCCAGTTTATGAGACCGACACGAAGCCGACGAAGAGGCTTCTATTTATAACTAATATTGTCTTCTTTCGAGTCCTCAGTTATGTTAATATTATTAAAAAAAAAATCATATTTTCCTACGGTTGGCTGATTGACTGGGCTTTGCAATGGTGATTAAGGATTTCAACAAATTGAGAGAGGAGGAAAACACCGAGATGGATCTAAACGAGGAAAACAAAGAGAAAAGTCAAAAGTCAAGTCTTTCTATATAAACTTTAACCAGGAAAACAAAAAGAGAAAGGAAAGGATGTGTGGGATATTTGCGTATTTGAATTACAACGTCAATAGGGAGAGGAGATTTATTCTCCAAACTCTCTTCAACGGATTGAGGCGTCTTGAATATAGAGGATATGATTCCGCCGGGGTTTCCATTGATCACAACCAACCTCTTGTTTTCCGTCAGGAAGGAAACATCGAATCCCTTGTCAAATCTGTCTATCAAGGTAACCAATTCTCCCCCTCTCTCTCTTCTTTTGATTGATTTACGAGAGACCCGAGCATCTTTAATTCTTTTCTTGCTCGATCTAATTTGATCATGGAATGGATTTAGAAAGAGACGTGCACTTTATTTATGATTATTGCGGAAAACCCAGTTCGGAGGTTGTCCCCACCCACCCGTATTGAGTCAACTGGGTCGGGTGAAGTCGAGAAAGAAGGAAGTCATATTATGTTTTATTTCCTAAAAACGGGTTTAACCAGCTTGCCAACTGCATACGCATGCACATGATGGACTGCTCTATTTTACTAGCCAAAATTCCCAATGCAACTCATTGTTTTAATCTTTTGTATTTCCAGAGGCTGATGCCATGGGTTTAGATCTGGAAGAATCCTTTTGTGTCCATGCTGGAATAGCACACACCCGCTGGGCTACTCATGGAGAGCCTGCTCCAAGGAATAGCCATCCACAAACATCTGGTGATGGAAATGAATTCCTTGTTGTTCACAATGGCGTCATAACTAATTATCAGGTTTGCTTAAGCCTTCGCTACCAGATATTGTTTCTTTCCTCACCATCACCCACAATGGTGATGTGCCTCTCTAGATTACAGTATGATATCTTTGTAATGATATTGATGTAATTTGAAGTTACATAAACGCTTATATTTCCTTTTACGTGGAGATATTTGTAGGAAGCCTCCTCGGTAAGGGTACGAGTTGTTATGTGATCAGGCTGATAAAGCTGTGTCATGTTTTCGGCTTGCACGTTATGTTCACTTTTCTCTGTTTCTCTATGCTTACGTAAGAAATACATGTATAATGTTATGCATTTAGCTCTGATAAATTTGATGCCCGTGTCAAAAGCTTTCATTTATACACCCTCTTAAACTGGCATCGGTTTTGTGTATTTCAGTCTAGTAATTAACTTTTGTGGTCGGTATCCTTGGTGAGAAACTATAGACTTGTTTCAGATAGTCTAGGATTTATTAGTCTCGAGTTTCATTTACTTTCTCCTAAAGCATTATTTGCTCAAATGACCAGTCTCAGTCTTCTAGCAGACTTTCTTCGTAGTATTTGCACATATGGTCCTATTTTTTAACTTATAATTAATGTTGAGGCTGCTTTGGGACTAGCTTGGAAGAGTGGAGACCCTTTTCTATTACTAACCCACTTTCTTTCAGATGTATACGATTGTTCTGATATGTCTGTTCCTCCCCCTAGTTTCTTGTTCTTTTTGTGTTTTTCATGATAGCTTGCCTGTAAATTGTGTCAAAACATGCAGACAATGTGGATGAAGTAATGAGGAGGTAAATTGTTACTGACAAAACTGGTGGTGGTGTTGTTGTTGATTGAGATCATTAGGTAGCGGGTGTCCAGTCATTGTGTTAGTCTTAGCATTGCTTGTGTGCAATGTATACATTGTTGGAGGCATAGGCGAGACTGAGTGATTGTTGACTAGTTATGAACCTCACAATTGTTGGTTGATGGTGGTGGAGTATGGTGCCATGCAAAGAAATAACTGTAGTGTTGCCAGTGGTTTTGCAGTGGTATCAAAGGCAAAGAAATAACTGTAGCGTTGCCAGTGGTTTTGCAGTGGTATCAATTCCCCCCCCCCCCCCTGCTCCCTTTTATTTGGTGACTGGAATGTGAGGTTGGCTGGACAAGACGTAGTTGTATTAGTGTTAACAATGGCACAGTTGATAGGACTGTTGGTGGTGATGGCAATGGTGATGTGAATTAAATGGAGGAAATCACAAAAGTTCTTACTTTGTTAACTCTCTCTCTCTCTCTCACCTGAAAACTGCCAATACATCTTTCTCAAACATTCTGTTATGTTTTTTTTCTTTTCTTTTCATTTCCTGTTGCCAATTATTGCTAGTGCTTAATAAATGATGCTAGCAATTATATTTGAATATTTTGAGGAAAGAATCGCTGTTTAGAAACTTAGCTGAGCTCTGCAGTATAAGAACAAGAAAGTTTACTAGTTTGTTTGTAATTCAGTATGTTTAGAATTTTATTATGAACTTTATTTCATATTTAGTTTAAAATACTAGGTTTTCTTGGTGTCTAAATAAAGACCATATACTTTGAAGGAGGGAATGATGATGATGCATTAAAACTCAGAATTGAGTCCTTTTTCTTGTTTTTATTTGAAAACTCTCCTACGAGGTATTCTTTCAAATCCTTCAGCCCTTAAGATAGGGATTTACCCTCTTCTATGGGATTTTCTTCTGTTGGGATTTAGCCTTTCTTTAGGGTCTTCTTTTTACTTGCTCTACCTTTCCCTCTCTTATAGGGAATTTGGCTTCTTTTATCTTTGTTCTTACCCTGTCCTCCTTCACTAAGTCAAGAGCTCAATGACTACTGGATTTTTCAGGTTGTATCTTGTAGATTGTACCAAAAAAAAATACCGGTGCTTCCTTATAACATTTTAGATGAAATTAGCCATTCTAATTACTGCTTTCTGGCTCTCTGTTTTGCTACTCCATCCTTTCCTGTACTATGAAATTTCATAGCTCATTTCATTTTTTTACCATATAAATGTGCTACATGATTACTTATATGCTTTGAAGTAGGCATTATTTTTAATACCAGTAAAATTATACTGAATTCTTACTTCACTATTAAAATCTTCAGGTGTTAAGGGAAACACTTATTCGACATGGGTTCACCTTTGAATCTGAAACCGACACAGAAGTAATACCAAAGCTTGCAAAATTTGTCTTCGACAAAGCAAATGAAGGAGAAGGTAGTTTTCATTTTGTGAATATTTATCAAACAAGGCTAATACTTTGTTAATGTAATCTACTTAAAGGAAGTGAGGTACCGGAATCCTTTTCATACAAACTGCTCAGAGGATGTGGAAGTCCTATTAGTATAGTTGCTATAACCTATAGTAACCTGAAACAAGATCTCTGTTGTAGTGGAGCATAACTGTATAGAATTATGATTCTTCATAGTTGTGTGAAAGGTATTACCCGCCAGAGCATCGTAGTGATAGCTTGTAATTTCTACTAATTCAAATGATATAATATCAAAACAGAAGAATTTTTAATCCTTCCACTGAATACAGCATGTCTGAAAAAACTATTATTTGTTGCCAACAATTTTCATGGACATGAAAATGATTTTACATTGTAGTTGGTGATGGGGCTATTCTATATTGTTTGTTGTGCTTTATGTATTCATTAAGGCCTATCATCTCCCAAGGCATTGTAGTATTGCTGCATGCCATCCAGAGTACACAACAATTAGATGAAAGTCAAACTTTCTCTGAAAGTTTTTGTAGAATTGATTTGATTGCATCTTGTTACTTATGACAGTGATTTTTAGGAAATTGATTTCATGTTTCTCTGAAAAAGCTTTGCGACATTTGTAGTTCTTCAGAAGTGAAATTTAAGGTGACATTAAATTACTCATTTCCATTTTGTGTTGCAGGTTCTCATACTGTCACATTTAGTGAAGTTGTGCTTGAAGTCATGAGGCATCTTGAAGGAGCCTATGCCCTCATTTTTAAGAGCCTACATTATCCAAATGAGTTAATTGCATGCAAACGTGGAAGTCCATTGCTCTTGGGTGTTAAAGTAAGTTTGTTGATGAAGTATACAAGCTTCTAACAGCACTAGTTTCTCCCTAGAAATTTGAATCTATAAGTTCTTGGGTACAATTTTTTTTACCGGTTCTGGTTAGTACTCTGAAAAATTTGGGTTAAACCCATGATTTAAAAAAATATGTAACCATTCCATTAGAGAATTGTTTTCTCCATTTTTCTTCCCAATATACATATTGATTGGTTGTCCATAGCCATTCTTTTGGTTGGATAATATGTGAAACATGCGCATTTGGGAGTTAGTTCATGTGCTCTTGCTTTAAGACAACTCTTAGGGGCTCAATTCTGGTATCAAAATTTGTTCATGTAATGAAAAACTGAGGATGTACGTTGTCTTGAAGTTGGAATTTGACTAGCCTTTGTTTTATAGATTTTGCATTCAGATAACTGCATTCATGGTTTTCCATTTATTTTTTATTTTTTTTATCTGACCTTTAGGATTGCTATTCTGCTTCACAAATTTGGCTAATTAGAAATACAAATGTAAAGCTGGAAAATTATGTTTGTTAATTTTGTGAAAACATAAATTTGCGTCCACTATACTTTAAGGTTTCCTATATCCTGTATTGTATATACTCAGGTGATGACGACATAAATTAGATGATATCAAGGACTGTGCTGGAAGATATATGCCTGCACTGCAAGCTGTAATTAAGATTGTTTGCTTGTCTTGCTTCTCATGGTATTGAGCGTAAGAATAGCAAGTTAACACTGTTACAGATATCTTTTTTCCCCTTTATTCTTAATGCAGCCACTAGTCTTTTAGGAAGTGATGCCTGTGCTTTTACTTCAAAGTATTACTAAGCATGATAAAATAACAACTTATAATTGAAAGCTTTTGCTAGCTAATTAGTTGATGGTTTACTCTTCATGATGGATCAGAAAGTCTGGATTATTGGCATTACTATATCCTGTCCCATGTTTGTATCAGCTTCATGCTTCCGTTAATAGTAGCTTACGGTTGGGCTTCTATCAGGAATTAAATGAAGAATTTAACAGCGGACCAACATTTCATGATTCTAAATTCCTCTCAAATATTGACCATCCAAAAGAGCTGTTTCTGTCCAGTGATGCTCATGCTATTGTTGAGCACACAAAAAAGGTCTTGGTGATTGAGGATGGTGAAGTAGTTCATCTTAAGGTACTCCTTTGTCTTTGTTAATTTTAATTCTCTTGTTATGTTAGGTTTTCCCAACATTTTCTCTCTTTTTTAGGTCGATATCTTTTGCCCTTCATAATACTGATCTCAAGATATTCTTCTTTGTAGCCTTCTTTTTTTGGGTTATCATATTCTTGCAGATGAATGCTTAATTGACTTTGCAAGATGAAAATCTTACTAGTTCAAGTTCAAGTAATTGATTATGTGCCTGACAAGAGAATTAGTACTTTCAATATCACCTCATTTCTTCGCATTTATACATAACAAATGTGCTTTACTGTTATGTTGTCAGCTCCTTTCATAATGATGTCTACCGAAGTTCCAACTTTGTCATTGATTTTATTAGATATATGATGTCTTATAGAGCTGTTTAACTCAGGTTAACAGTTAACTTGAGACTGTTATGGTTTTCAATACCTATATTAGATCACCTATATATTTTTGGAGCAGGTGGTTTCGATGAAGGAGTATTTATGATGACAATAGCAATGCCATTGATTACTTTTTTCTTACCCCTAACTGTTTGTCTTCTTAACTCCCCCCCCTCTTTCTCTTTCCTCCCTGACTTTGTGGTTACTTTATTGTATTAATACACCCTTGAAACTGAGAATTATGGATGGTAGTTGCAAATGGAAATTGTGCATGGAACCAACTTCAAATCCCACACTGGAAAGCTGAGTAATTGGCTTATGAAGGGAGGATTTAAGATCCATATTCTGTGGAGCTTTTTGATGATAGGCTCGATAGAAATGGGTCAAAGTGGATAAGACCTCATATTTTTTGTGCACACTTTCTGACCTAGTTTACACAAATTTGGTCAAGTCAGACAAGGCTTTAATATTGATCATAGTCTGGGTTGGGAAGAATACTAGAGAACAGTTTTTTTTTCAAAGATGGTTTTGTTTATCGTCGTAGATGTAAATTTCAGACACTCATTGCCTTTATTATTGCCCATACTTTTCATTCTTCATTTTATTATGGTCTGATTATCTCTGGGTAGCAAAGGAGCCTTGTAAGAAGGATGAGATCTTTTTGGTCATGTTTTACAGAGGTCATCTTTCATCTATTCAGAAGATTAGATATTGTGGCCTTATGGTTGAGTTTGTGGTATATACGGTACCTGCAATCATGGTCTCCTTTTTATTTCTCCTTTCGTGTTTGTTCCAGCACATCAAAGGATCTCGTCTGGTTTTCATATGATGGGGTTTTTTCTTAATAGGACAGGGTAGTTGTTTCCCCTCTTGTTGCTGCATGATATTCATCAACAAGGTCTACATCTTTGAAATCTTTTATACCATGATTTAATCATCATCTATCTATTTGAAAAGAATGAAAGACAAGGCCGTCTACACTTTTAGATGCAGGTCATCGAAACTTTGACCAATAACCAATTTAATTTTGTTGCTTTACCCTTTCTCTGCATTAGGTTGTCCTCTTTAAGTTGGAGTGCATTATTATTTTTATTCTTTCTGCTTTTAGCTCATCCACATAAAAACTTGATGTACATATATGAAGTGATAGATGCATGAGGCCCCAGTTAAGGATATGGGAGATGAAAGAGTCAGCTTCATGCGGTTATAGTTTGTAAAAGATGCTATCAACCTTTCAACCTCTTAATCAATGCATGCCCTTCTGCTTCGTTCATCATTTAATTAGGACAAATTTCAAAGCATTGAAACATCCTGTTGGTAAACAATTCTTTGTTCATTCACCAACACCCTTAAAACTCTGTTACTTCATTAAAGCCCTTTTTAGAACCAAGTTGATTTGAGGCAGAATGCTCCCTGTTTCCTCAAAAATCAATTCAGCTTTTATTCAAATATTCGTTTCTAGATAAGTATGCTTTGGTGATGTTGCGAATACATAATTTACTGGAATGTACTTGGCAATAATATGCATGTCTCTATGGAATGTTGAGTCATGACTTGGTACTTTCTTCTTTAAAAATGTCTCTACTTTTTCCTTGAGATACGCAATTACTTACTGTGTAAATAATAGGTCAAAACAACCAATATATGCTGGAAAATTGACTACTGGATTCATTACAATCTAATTAAGCAGTCCTGTTATAGTGCCAATTTCTTTTTGTAACCTGCAATGTCGATAATTGTCCCAGGATGGAAATGTGTCAATCCTGAAGTTTGACAATGACAAGGGAAGACATGGAGGTTCCCTTTCTAGACCTGCATCAGTGCAACGTGCATTATCTGTTCTTGAGATGGAAGTTGAACAAATAAACAAAGGAAACTATGAGCATTACATGCAGAAAGAAATCCATGAACAGCCTGAATCTCTGAAAACCACCATGAGGGGGAGGCTTATACGTGGAGGCTCCTGCAAAGCCAAGACTGTTCTTTTAGGTGGACTCAAGGATCACTTTAAAACAATTAGAAGGAGTCGACGTATTGTTTTCATTGGTTGTGGTACAAGCTATAATGCTGCTCTAGCTGCTAGACCCATCCTGGAAGAACTTTCTGGTGAGTCTTGTTTGGCACAGTAAATTTTGCAAAATCAAAATCTTGTTTGTACTGCTTATTTTTTTTTTCAATTTTCCTGGTTTGCTGCATATAAAAACATAGGTGTCCCTGTCACTATGGAAATTGCAAGTGATCTGTTGGATCGTCAAGGTCCTATATACAGAGAAGATACAGCAGTCTTTGTCAGCCAGTCTGGTGAAACTGCCGATACATTACATGCGTTGGAATATGCTTTAGAAAATGGTGCATTGTGTGTAGGCATAACAAACACTGTTGGCAGTGCAATAGCTAGGCATACACATTGTGGTGTTCATATAAATGCTGGCGCTGAAATAGGCGTGGCAAGCACCAAGGTGATGGCTTTGAATTTATTTGTTTTTGTTCATCTCATTTACTATCAGTGCCTAACCATGTTATCACTGTTATCAACAGGCATACACAAGTCAGATAGTAGTGATGGCCATGTTAGCCCTAGCAATCGGAGGTGATTCAATTACTAGTCAAACAAGAAGAGAGGCTATAATAGATGGTCTATTTGACTTGCCAAGTAAGTTTCTGATCTTTATGTTCATTTTTTTTTCCATATATTGTCATAGTCTACCCTTTTGTGTCCCAAACTATATATTGAAGTCTGGATTTTTTGCAGACAAGGTCAGGGAGGTCCTGAAGCTTGACCAGGAAATGAAGGATCTTGCAAAACTTTTGATTGCAGAGCAGTCTCTTCTTGTGTTTGGGAGAGGATACAACTATGCAACGGCTTTGGAGGGTGCCTTAAAGGTTAAGGAAGTAGCGCTTATGCACAGTGAAGGAATGCTTGCTGGTGAAATGAAACATGGTCCTTTGGCATTAGTTGATGAGAATCTTACTATTATTGTCATTGCTACTCGCGATTCCTGCTTCAGGTTTGTTGTTTTGTACGTATTGAATGCGTCCTCATTCAATATTTTTCATGTGTTTGATATTGACTACTTTTAGTGGTCTGACAGCAAGCAACAGTCAGTCATTCAGCAACTTCATGCCCGCAAAGGTCGCTTAATAGTCATGTGTTCAAAAGGTGATGCTGTGTCGGCTTGCCCTGGAGGATTTGGTAGAGTAATTGAAGTTCCACAGGTTGAGGATTGTCTTCAACCTGTAATTAATATAGTTCCATTGCAGGTATTCCTACTACCGTTGGCATTTGTTCATAAATGAATGTATACATGTGCATGCATGTTTGAGTGTTTGATTAGGAATAATCAGTCCACTTTAATTCGGAATAATCAGTAGCTAAATTCACTGACTTGTCATTTAGTAAACTGTGCAAGGGCATCTCATGTCAAGTAGTATTCATATCCTAGCCATTCAATCTGTGGCTCCAAGGGTGGGCTGTATCACCTTTGCACGTAGATGGGCTGACAGAAACAGGATGATGCCTGTGCTTCTATCCTCGCTATTCAGCCATGGCTTGCTTAGGTTGATTTATGTGCCAATTGCCAGATACCTTCTTTCAGCGGTCTATCTTAACTCAGAACTTCCTTTAGAAAATCAGTATCATCAAATGATGGTATGAATGCATGTTTTTGTGATGTATGAAAGTATATATGATGCAAGAACTAAATATTTTCTTTTTTTCCTTTCATTCATTACAATCCCTATGCTCTCCTTTACAAATCTTTTTCGGGCATAAGAAACAATAGTTGACAGAGAAAGATTGTGTATTTGCATTAAGCATTACCAGATGCGTCAGCAACCTGACCTCCCTTTCTTGGTGCAGTTACTGGCATATCATCTGACTGTTCTAAGGGGTTACAATGTTGACCAGCCACGCAATCTGGCGAAGAGCGTGACGACACAGTAAAGGTAGGGGCTGAAAACCTTCTCGTTTGGTCATTGTTCTCTTGTAAAAATGTGATGCTGACAATGGCTGACAAATCAAAGATTCAACTCATCGTAAAACCCCTTTCTGGTATTCCGTGGATGGGAGATGTGTAACAAATGAAAATTACATTTTAAAAGATAATTATCATACTAGCTAGATATTACTAAAATATTGGAGAAATGATCATTTATTAAACAAAATGTCTACCAAGAGCTGTATTTAAACTTGACAGGGCGTGTTTTCCTTTTTGTAGGAGCGTTTCAGGGACATCTCCTTCAAGTCGGGAAAGGAGGAGAGCTCTCAACCTGTTGTGAAAAGGAAAAAGAAAAAAAAAGAGAGAAAAAGCCACAGGACGGCTTGGACATAAAAGCCACAGGACGGCTTAGACATAAAACTTAAAGACATGATTAAAAGAGTGGAAAGAGATTTGATTGATTTGCCTCGTCCCCTATGCTGTCCATCTGCACTCACAATTCCTTTCCAAAGGTCCATCGAACACCTTATTTTGGAAGCATGTTCTAACACACCTATTTCTTCAACATTATCTTATATTGTAATTTAATTTTAATGAAAATGGAGTAGATCTCGGTCAGGGTGCAGTCAACTTGACAAAAATCGGACAAAAATCGGGCAGTTTATGCAAGGAGAGGCATAAAAGACTTGGTCGTAGAATGTGAAGATTGTCTCTATTGGTTTTTGACCCCCGACAGTAAGAGGAGGCAATTTGTGTGTTTTTTTTTTTAAAATAATTTTTGAAAAAATTAAAATTTTTAATATTTTTTTTCTTTATTTTAAATTAATTTTTATGGTGTTTTTATATTATTTTGATGTAATGATATTAAAGATAATTTTATAAAAATAAAAAATATTATTTTAATATATTTTTAAATAAAAAAAATATTTTAAAAACAAATTACAACGTGGTTGTTCAATATCACATTGAAAAAGTGAAAATAGAACGCAAAAGGAATGGAGGAGACAAAAGGGTAGATCAGATAAAATTCATGTAAATTTGATTTTAAATTATAAAATTAACAATTTAGCATGTTCAAGTTTCTTTTCTAGATTAAAAAATGAACTAAAATTTTTTTTCTGGGTCAATTAACAGTAAATTTGGCTTTGTTTTTTCTATCATTTTATGATTTTATTAATTAAATATTATAAAACTGTTTTACTGAACTTTAGCTTATGTTTTTGTTCTTTTGATCAAAATTCATTTATTATATTACCGGTGCTCCGTTTTCAAGTGAATTTTCTTACAAATAAGATTTTATATGTAATCTTTAAAATGAGTAATGTTAATTTTTTTTAGAGTTAATTGAAATATCAAAGGAGGTGTTCGACATTGAGTTTCAACCTGCTTTTATTAAAATAAAATTTTTTTGTTTCAAATTAAATTTTTTAGTGATTTTAAATTATTTTAATATGTTGATGTTAAAAATAAAATTTAAAAAATAAAAAAATATTATTTTAATATATTTTTAAACAAAAAATATTTTAAAAATAACAACTATTATACTCCAGACATTTCTTAGTTTTGCTATTGGATATAGATATAAAGGCTTTATTGATAAATGAGTGAAACATTAAGGACTAATTGATAGAGAATAAAATTCTGAAAAGAAATTGATATGCTTTATTGAAAAAAAGGGGACCCAGTAAGACGCTTTTTGTTAAAAGCAGGAGGAGCCCTCTTTTGTTTCGAAACCAAAGAATTGATTTCAAAGCAGAACAAGTCTTACCAAACATTATTTTAAAATCTAAAATAGTTGGACTTTAAAAGCAATATCAAATTTATGAGTTGATTTGTAATATAAATTATAAATAATATTATTAAATTTATGAGTTGATTTATAAAATTATATATAAAATTATTAAATTTATAAATTGATTTGTAAAATTATACAATATTACAAATTAATTTATACATAAAATACAAAATTAGTTAAAAACTTAAAAATTAATAAACTGGATTAAACTCGATTAAACTCGGATTAAGTTTATTAACTACTCTCCTAGAATCCCTCCCAAGTCCCACTCCCCTTTCTCTTTTGCCCTAGCAACACCATAACTTCCATCTTCAACATTTTGTTAATCTCTCTCTCTCAAGAGCAACGCCCAGGTGGTCTTTCCAAGCTTGGCTTTACCAGGCAGGCATTTCTCGTTGTACCATTCGTCTTATGTGAGGAGTCAATTTTTTTTTTTTAGATTAACATGGGTGTCCAGGTCAGCTTGCGTACACCACGATTAATCCTACGGGCCCTGAAGTTAACGATCATGTAAGTCTCCAGTGGCCATCATATGAGCAATCAATGACTCGAACCTGAGATCACAAAGAAAACAAACCCCTTAATCCCAAATTTTTATCACTTGACTACCACCTAAATGATTGTAAGGAGCCAATTCTTATTATTTGGATTTCGATAGAGAGAGAGAGAGGGGTTAGAGAAAGGAAATGAAGAGAAGGATATTTTGGCGAGAAAAAGGTTGAAAAAGCTGAGGCTTACGTTTTGCTTTCCTTTTATAAATCATCCAAAGCCACTTGGGTCTTCAATTTGTATAGTTTTATTTTTATTTTTTAAAATAATTATTAATTATAATGATTTAATTTAATTCTTTAAATGTCATTTCAACATTCGGTGTCCTAATTTTTTTCCGGCTAATATATAGCACTACAGAAAGGCCCCTATGTTTTTTTTTTTTTTTTTTTTTTTTATCAAGGTAATTATGATCGGTGTTTAGTGAAAATCTTACAAAAACATATTCTTATTGAGTTAGATGTAGTTATAAATCTAGGTTTAATTTATGATTACATTTAAAGTTTATGATTTTGAGATGAATTTAAATTAATATTATTTTAATTTTTTTTTAAAATTTTTTTTTGATTATAATTAGTTCAATTAACTCTCACTTAATTTAATATAAAACTTGATATTAATTATAATCTAGATAAATAAGTTATTGGATTAACCGGTGAATTTAAGTTAAATTTAAATATAAATAGATGTTTTACAAAAAATAAAAGGGGAGATGGATCATTATTGGTTTCTATATTAATTATTGTCTTTAAAATTGTTTTCCTACATAACTAGATCATAAAAATAGTGAATATTTGTATTATTTATTTTATTTTTATTTTAATTATATTATATTATTATTTATTATTTAACTGAAATTATTAATATATAATTAATTAAAATATTTTACTTATAATTTTATAATTTAAATTTATAATTCAAATTTATATTAAATATTTTGTACCATATTAAAAAGATATTTTTGATAACTTTGTTTAAAAAAACACAACAATACATAGCAAATAGACATTTAATTCCTGAAACTAAAATTATATGCAGAGTGATGTGCGGTATCAATCATGTTAGAAAGTTATTAAAATCACGGGAAATTAATCATGTTAGAAAGTTATTAAAATCACGGGAAATTAATCATGTTAGAAAGTTATTAAAATCACGGGAAATTAATAAAATCTAAAAATTTAAAGGGTGTGGAGAAAGTCATGTAATATAAGATTGGGTGCCCTGTGGGTTCTAATAGTTCATTAATGATTTTACCCTTCTTCAAAAAAATCATATTAGTTTTGGTTGTTTGGATTTTTAATAAAATAATAAAATAAAATTATTTGAGAGTTTCTAACATTTTATTAGACAGATTTAGAATTATTTAGAAATTAATTATATGAAAATCTGATTTTTTTCAACTTTAAATAATTTTTTTAACATTGGGTTGTTCTTACCCACAAATCGTCTAATTATCTAATTTCTAACAGTAATTAACATAAATTACCGGTGATAAATCTCTTAAATCCCTATTTTAAAGAGAAAAAAATTGCTATGTTTAGAGTGTTTTAACTCTTTATTATGTGAATTATATAGTTTTTTCTATTTAACAAACAACTACTAAAAAATAAAAGGCACAACCTAATACTCATTGAAAAATTTAAAAATCTCTATAAATAGATAAAATATCAATTTGTCCCTTGAATAATATTCATATATTAATTTGACATAATTTTAGCAATTAACTTAATCAAGTCCTTATTTATTTCTTTAAAATTCGTACTGACCATGTAAAATTTCAGAGTTGACTCCTTATTTATTGAGACTTTAATTTTGATTTTTATTCTTTTAATTTTTAATTTTATCATTCAATTCTAATTTGTAATATATTATTTTTTTCAATTGTTTTCTAGATACTCTTGTCAAATTGATTTTTATTTTTAATTTCACCGTTCAATCAAAAAACTTGTAGTTCTCCACTAATTTACTTTTGTTTCAATTTGATCCATATTCTTTTAGTTGCTATTGTTTTTTTACCTTGAAAATCTTTGTATAGTTATTTTTGTTCCAATTCTACCCTTCAATATTTGATTGGCTTGGAATTGAACCTTGTAGTTTTTCCAAGTGGGGTGCTTATGGTCTAATGACTTGAGTTACGAGTTTAGAAAGTTAAAGCCGTTTGACATAATTTTTTTACTTATTTTATTTTCTGATTTCATCATTTAAATTGTTTTTTTTAAATTAAGCTTTGTAGTTTTTTTCATTTTCTTTTGTTTTTGAATTATTCCAATCTCATGACATGAATTACAAGTTTGACGGGTTACCTCAGATTGATTCTGTATTTTTTATGGGATTTGTTTTTTTAAAGGAATTTTGGTTTTTTTAACATCATTTTTTATGAAAAAAATAATAGTTTCACCTTGCAACAATGTAGCGTAAATCCACATCTATCTTGTCTATTTAGAGTGTGTTTGATATTGCGGTAGCTTTTGTAGTTGTAGTTTGAAAAAAAGTTGTTTTTAAAAAATCACTTTTAGTTGAGGTTGATTTCATTTAATGGCTGTTTGGTTAAAACTGTGGTTGAAATTGAGATTAAGGCAGTGTTTGGGAACGCGGTTGAACCTGCGTTCCCAAAAAATTCAAAAAAAAATTATTTTTTATTTTTATTAAAATTTAATATGGTTTGTACGTTTTGGATCGTTTTGATGTGCTGATATTAAAAATGATTTTTAAAAAATAAAAAAATATCATTGACATGCATTTCGGCACAAAAAGTTATTTGAAAAGCAACTGCTACCACACTGCCAAACACACTCTAAATAAAAAGCAGTTTCGTATGTTTGGGAACGCAGTGCAAACCGCGTTCCAAAAAATAATGAAATTTGTTTTTTCTATTTTTTCTAAAAATAATTTCTTTAATTGTTTTTGGATTGTTTTCTTGTATTGATATCAAACATAATTTTTTTTTAAAAAAAATCTCAGAAAATATATCTCAAAGCGAAAAACATTGTGATTCGCCATTGCCATTATAAACTTAAACAATCAAGCTTTTCAGATTCAGGGTATAAAATAACTAAAATATACATATATTAATATTGATGATTTTTTTATTGAAATATTATAGATTTAATTACTGGTATTACATCATCAAATAAAAATACTTTATATAATGTATGTTTCATTGTTCCATTAAACTATTTGTAATTCCATCATGTACAAAATTCTTGCCTTGACTACAGTTTTCCTGGCTTCATGCGCGTGCTATAATATTAGGTAAAATA